CTCTCCTGCCCGGGCTGGCTTTGAACCGCGATCCTCAGATCTCAGCCTCCTGAGTAGCTAGGATTACAGGCGTGAGCCACCAGCGCCCGGCTTCGTGAGCACTTTTTTAAGCACAAGTACTGGCATGCATGCACACACACACACACACCAACAACAATCATCATCATCATAAGCCTTCTCCTGCAGCCTTCTCCTCCCAAATGGAGCCTTCTCTCTGTTAGTGATATGGTCTGCCCAGCAGGTGTAGTCACTGAGCTAGACTGGGCTCTGCCACGCCCTGGCTCTGCCCCCAGCCCTTTCCATGCTGTAGAATCCTGGAAACAGGGTCTATGCACTCTCCTGGGCACGGCAATTGCACGGATGAGGTATTCTGGCCTGGGAGTTACTTAAAGCTATGGCTACACCACCCTCCCCACTCTTTTTTTTTTTTTTTTGTCGGTCATGGGGCTTGAACTCTGGGCCTGGGCGCTGTCCCTCAGCTCTTCAGCTCAAGGCGAGCGCTCTACCACTTGAGCTACAGCGCCACTTCCGGTTTTCTGGTCGTTTATTGGAGATAGGAGTCTCACAGTCTCTCCTGCCTGGGCTGGCTTTGAACCGCGATCCTCAGATCTCAGCCTCCTGAATAGCTAGGGTTACAGGCATGAGCCACCAGCGCCCTGCAACCCTCCCCACTCTTGCGTGGGCTCAGAAAGCCAACAAGGCTGTCCAGCCAGGTAGCCATTCCTCTCATTCCCGGCTCAGTGACCACGAAACAGTGCTTTGGGGTTTGCGATTTTTGACAATAATTGTAATGGGCACAGTAATACTATCTGTGCAACCAAGAGGCTGGAGGCATGGCGCAAGTGGTAGAGAATCTGCTGAGCAATCACAAAACCCCCTAAGCTGGCCACCCCTCAAAAAATGAGTTCTGATGAATGCTGTGCTTAGCTAGGCACATTGAGACATTAGTTCATCCATTCCTTCAGAAATGTGTGTTTATTGATTACCTACCATGTCACCAAGAACAGTGAGGAAGATCAACTTGGCCTGTGTATTTGGAAAGTTCCAGTCTAGAGAAGGGTCATAGAGTTCTTACTTTGAGAAAAGAAGCCTACAGGCACTAGCAACTCATGCCTGAAACTCTAGATTCTCAAGAGGCTGAGTCCTGAAGATCATGGCTTGCATCCAGCCTATGCAGGAAACTCCATGAAACTACTGTTTTTTGTTCGTTGTTTTTGTCAGTTGTGGGGCTTGAACTCTGGGCCTGGGCGCTGTCCCTCAGCTCTTTAGCTCAAGGCGAGCGCTCTACTGCTTGAGCCACAGTGCCATTTTTGGTTTTCTGGTGGTTTATTGGAGGTAAGAGGCTCATGGACTTTCCTGTTCAGGCTGGCTTTGAACCATGATCCTCAGATCTGAGCTATGTGAGTAGCTAGGATTACAGGCATGAGCTACTGGCACCCAGCTATGAGACTAGTCTTATTCCAGCTCACTACCAAAAAGTGGAACATGAAACTATGGCCCAAGTGGTAGAGCACCAACCTTGAGTGAAACAAAAACTAAGGAACAGCACCCAGGACCTGAGTTCAAGCCCATATTTATTTGCTGTGCAGAATTCTCTAATAGCATACATGACATTGATAGTTCATATTCTATTGTCAGCTGTGGCCAAGCATGTGCTAACCCTGGTCATTATGATATGTCTGTCCTCTCTCTCTCTCTCTTTTTTTTTTTTTTGTCGGTCGTGGGCCTTGAACTCTGGGCCTGAGTGCTGTCCCTCAGCTCTTCAGCTCAAGGCGAGCACTCTACCACTTGGGCTACAGCACCACTTCCGGTTTTCTGGTGGTTTATTGGAGATAAGAGTTTCACAGACTTTCCTACCTGGGCTGCCTTTGAACCTCGATCCTCAGATCTTAGCCTCCTGAGTAGCTAGGATTACAGGCATGAGCCACCAGCACCCGGCTGTCTGTCCTCTCTTGTAGGGATGGGTAACATTTTATTATGCAAGAGCTGTTTTCATGCGCTCTTAGCTTGTATTGGTGTTTATGTTATTGTGAGAAATCTAGGTTTACTGAGCTTTGAGTTCCCCACACAATTTCTGCCGGGCCAGACCACATGATTACCCAGGCTAAACCCCACCTGCTTCTGGCGCTGTGAGAACAGAAACTAAGTTTTTCCTTTTGAACCCTCAGTAAAAGAGAAACAGGCCAGGCACCCGTGGGTCATACCTGTAATCCCAGCTCCTTAGGAGGCTGAGATCTCAGGATCTCGGTTTGAAGCCAGCCCATGCAGAAAAGTTCCTCTGACACTCTTATCTTCAATAAACTACTCAAAAAAGCTGGAAGTGGCAATGTGGCTCAAGTGGTTAAGAGCTAGCCTTGAGCACAAAGAGGCTCAGAGAAAGTACCTAGGTCCTGAGTTCAAGCCCCAGGATTGGAGAGAGAGAGGGAGAGGATGGGAGGGAGAGGGAAGGAGAAGGAGAGAGGGAAGGGCAGAGAGAGAGAAACAGCCTGATTGTACCACTCCCTAAAATCTGAATCCGGTGGTGGCAGGCCTATTAAAATTGTGTTTTGCACTGGGAAGGTGGCTCAGTGGTAGAGTGCTTGCCCCACATGCAGGAGGCCCTGGGTTCGATTCCTCAGTACCACATAAACAGAAAAAGCCAGAAGTGGCACTGTGGCTCAAGTGGTAGCGTGCTAGCCTTGAGCTGAAGAGCTGAGGGACAGCGCCCAGGCCCAGAGTTCAAGCCCCATGACTGGCACAAAAAAAAAAAATTTTTTTTTTTGTTTCATTTTGTAAGCACTCTGTGATGAATCCTACTTATTTCAGTAAGGAATTCTGCTTTGATAGGCATGGAAACTGTGTTTGCAAAAAACAAAAGTTTTCATTTTCACAAGTTTCTAATTTATGCTGTGCAACCAAGAATAGATGCATAATTTGTGTTGCCACTGTCTCAAGTGAGGGAGAAATCTTTACATAAACATCCGGCTATTTTGGAATGGAAAGTTCTAGTAACAGAGTGCATGTAGTCACTAATTATTCATCCCTCTCTGTGAATTTGAACTGAAATGTCTGAATCCCTATGCAGTCAGCAATATAGAGACACAGAAAATGTGCCCAGGACACTGGGCTGGTGTTTTCTAATTTCTACATATCTTGTCTCTATTCTCAATCATTACCTTTGCTGGTGGAAGGATATTTTGCATTTCAAACCACAGATTTTTCTCATTCAATGAGTTTTAAAATGTTTTTCCTTTTTTTTTTTAGTTTGTGAAAGTACTAGTACTTGAACTCAGGGCCTTATGCTCATGTTTGGCTTTTTCATTCAAGACTGGCTCTCTGCTGCTTGAGCTATACGTCTACTTCCAGCTCTTTGCTGGCTAATTGGAGATAAGAGTCTCCTAGGTTTGTCTACGATAGGTTGGCTTCAAACCTCTATTGTCAGATCTCAGTTTCCTGAGGAGCTAGGATTACAGGCAGGAGCCACCCTTGCCCAGAAAAAGAAAAAAAAAAGTTTTTCTTTAAAAATAATGTTTTAGGGGCTGGGAAGGTAGCTCAGTGGTAGAGCGCTTGCCTTGCATGCCTGAGGCCCTGGGTTCGATTCCTCAGCACCACATAAGCAAAACAAAAAAGCCGGAAGTGGCGCTGTGGCTCAAGTGGTAGAGTGCTAGCCTTGAGCTGAAGAGCTGAGGGACAGCGCCCAGGCCCAGAGTTCAGGCCCCACGACCGGACCCAAAAAATAAAAATAAAAATAATGTTTTAGCATCTTCAGGGTACTAATAAATAACTTTTCACTTTTCCAGGCACCAGTGTCTCATGCCTGTAATCCTAGCTACTGAGGAGGCTGAGATCTTAGGATCGCGGTTCAAAGCCAGCCCAGGCAGGAAAGTCTGTGAGACTATTATCTCCAATAAACCACCAGAAACTTGAAGTGGCGCTATGGCTCAAGTGGTAGAGCACTTGCCTTGAGCTGAAGAGCTGAGGGACAGTGCCCAGGCCCAGAGTTCAAGCCCTACTACTGACCAAAAAAAAACTCACTGGCAGGCGTCTAACCCCACCTTAGGCTCTAGGCCACGGAAGTATTTTTCTGCCCTGCCCCTCACACAAGCCTTAGCTGCAAACAGTCTCTGCACAACTTGAGCTGCGTCTGGTACCACTGAGGAACGCACACTCATTTGATTCGAATTCATAGAGTCACCCGCAGCTAGTGGTGACTGTACTGGACAGGGCATCTTGAGTACGTCTGTGTGTTTATTCCCACCCTCATTCACGAGACACGTACTGGTGTCCTCCTGCTCTGCCCGCAGGGGCTACATTTGGGGGGGGAAACCAGGAGAGGCCATTGCAGGAGGCCACATGCTTCTAAGGAGGTTTGTGTGTACCCAACGCAGTGTGGCCTTGCACTCTGCGCTCTGCACACTTTATCTATCCCAGACTCTGCAAACATGGCACAGTTGTGGTATTGTTTCAGAGGTGTGTGTGTGTGTTGGTGTGTTGGTGTGTTGGTCCTGGGGCTTGAACCTAGGTGCTGGGAACTGTCCCTGAGCTTTCCTGCTGATGAAAGTTAGAGCTCTACCACTTTATCCATAGCTCCACTTCCAGCTTTTTTGGTAATTAATGAGAGTCAAATCTCCTCAACATTTCCTACCAGGCTGGCTACAAACTGCGATCCTCAGATCTCAGCTTCCTGATTGGCTAGGATTATAGATGCGCGCCACCACTGCCCAGCTTGTTTCAGGTTTTTTTTGTTTGTTTGTTTTGTCTTGGAGGGATTGAACTCTGGGCCTGTGTGCTGCCCTAAGCTCCTCAGCTCAAGGCTAGCGCTCTACCACTTGAGCTCTACCACAGGGCCACTTCCAGTTTTCTGGTGGTTAATTGGAGATAAGAGTCTCACAGGGAATTTCCTGCCCAGGCTGGCTTTGAACCACAATCCTTTTTTTTGTGTGTCTGGTCATGGGGCCTGAACTCTGGGCCTGGGCGCTGTCCCTCAGCTCTTCAGCTCAAGCCTAGCACTCTACCACTTGAGCCACAGCGCCACTTCTGGCTTTTTTCTTTTTGCTTATGTGGTACTGAGGAATCGAACCCAGGGCCTCAGGCATGCAAGGCAAGCGCTCTACCTCTGAGCCATCTTCCCAGCCCCTGAACCACAATCCTTATATCTCAGCCTCCTGTGTAGCTAGGATTACAGGCATGAGCCACTAGTACCCGGCTTTGTTTCAGTTTTTTAAAGTCATTCCAAAGAACCACCCATGAATGATGAACTCAGGGAGGGAGAGAAGGAGGAAAAGAAGGGGGGGAGAAAATTCTCCTGTTTTTATCAAGGGAAAACAAGTAATGACAATTATCAATTTTATTATCAATTTATTGTGCTTTCACAGTTTACCATATACTTTATATAGCCTGGCCTATAAAGTGTATATAGTTATTATAAGTATATTGTTATTAGCCCCATGTTACAGAGAGGAAAACTGAGTTTAGAAGATTTAACCATTTAACACCAGACTGCTACTGGTCAGTGGTTGAAATAGAACTACAAACCCAGTTCTGTTTTTTATTTCACCATGGTATCACCTCAAGAAAAGCATACATGACTTTTTTTTTTTTTGGGTCCGGTCGTGGGGCCTGAACTCTGGGCCTGGGTGCTGTCCCTCAGGTCTTCAGCTCAAGGTTAGCATTCTACCACTTGAGCCACGGCGCCACTTCCAGCTTTTTGCTTATATGGTGCTGAGGAATCGAACCCAGGGCCTCATGCATGCAAGGCAAGCACTCTACCACTGAGCCACCTTCCCAGCCCGCATACATGACTTTTTAGGGGGTGGGTGGTCAGTCATGGGAATTGAACTCTGGCCCTGGGCACTATCCCTGAGCTTTTCAGCAAAAGATGAGCCCTCTACTACTTCCGGTTTTCTGGTGGTTAGTTGGAGATAAGAGTTTCACAGACTTTTCTCCTTGGGCTGACTTTGAACCATGATCCTCAGATCTCAGCCTCCTGAGTAGCTAGGATTACAGGAGTGAGCCCCCAGGCGGCTCTCCATATGGTTTTGGGTGATGGCTTTAAGTCCGTATGTCGTTTGCAATGAAGCATCGAATATACCATCTGAATCTGAGTTGTAGCAAATCTCCATGGCCAGCCAAAAACGGAGGCCGAGATCCCCTCACCCGGTGTTTGTCTTTCTGGTCCAGGGTCAAAGTGGAAGGTGCAGAAGCTGGAGAAGGCCCTGGAAGGCAGCCACGAGGGTTCTACACACCGTTCCCTGAGAGCGATCGAGGGTGAGCCCCCCAGCCGCATGCCGGGGGCCAGAGTGGCCATGTTGGGCTCAAGCATGCTCATCGGGAGCCCCACTGCGGAGCCCAGCACCAGAGAAGCCGGCAGGCCGGGGAGAAGCCCCCACCCCTGCTCCCGAGCTGGGGACCCGTCCAAGCCCCTGAGCATAAAGGACAAGATATCTGAGTGGGAAGGCAAGAAGGAGCCCCCCATGGGACCGGGCAGTGGGGCCGATGGGCCGGAGGAGACCCTGGCTTCCTGCACGATGGACAGAGGGGGCGAGGGGGCCAGAACTCGCCTTTCCGACGCTAGGAATGGACTAAAGCCTCACCCAGAGAGCCCGGAGACTGACTGCAGGACAGCAAGGTTTAGGGATCCCCATGCAGACCTGGGCCAGATCAATGAAGGCCACAGTCGAGGCCGGGAGCCAAGGCTCGGCAAACCCCACTCCCAGAGCGACCACCGCTCAGTGCTGAAGCAGGTCAAGAGGCTGGAGCAGGCCTTGAAGGACGGCTCAGCCGGCTTAGACCCCCAGTTGCCGGGGACCTGTTACTCCCCACATTGCCTGCCTGACAAGGCAGAGGAGGGGTCTCCCCTGTCTGATTGTGCCAGGGTCGGGGGTCGTTCAGAAACCCAGCCCAGGGGGCACCAGCCCTTGAACCTGGAGGGCAGGGAACGGTCCGTGGAGGCTTCCGAGGACAAGAAGGGCTGCCAAGGCGCCTCCCAAAAGCCCTTCATCAACCCCCTGCCCAAACCCCGGAGAACGTTCAAACATGCGGGAGACGGGGACAAGAATCCACACCCAGGCCCAGGCCTCAGGAAAGAGAAGAGGAACCTGCCCCCCCTGCCCTCCCTGCCTCCCCCACCCCTGCCCTCCTCTCCCCCTCCTGCCTCAGTGAACAGAAGACTGTGGGCGGGAAGGCCGAGGTCCAGCGCTGACCACAGGTAGGTGCTGCTGGGCAGCCGTGGCTGGGAGATGGCCGGCCCGGCCCAAGACCTGGCTGTGGTGTTAAAGCAGGGGCTTTTGTTCTCATTCAAAAAAAGGAATATTTGGCTGGACACCGGTGGTTCATGCCTGTAATCCTACCTACTCAGGAAGCTGAGATCTGAGGATCCCGGTTCAGAGCCAGCCTGAGCAGGAAAGTCCGTGAGACTCTTATCTCCAATAAACCACCAGAAAACCAGAAGTGGCGCTGGGACTCATGTGATAGAGCTGAAGAACAGCGTCCTGGCCCAAAGTTCAAGCCCCATGACTGGGGGGGGGGGAAGTATTAGGTTTTAAGAATCACTCTTTAGCTGGGTGCCTGTAGCTTATGCCTATAATCCTAGCTACTCAGGAGGCGGAGATAGGAAAATCACAGTTCAAAGCCAGCCCAGGCAGGAAAATTTGTAAGACTCCTATCTCCAAATAACCACAGGGAGAAAAAAAAAACAAAAAACAAATGAAGGTGTGGTTCAGGTGGTAGAGTGCCATACTTGAGCAAAAAAGCTCAGGGAAAGCACCCAGGCCTGAAGTATAAGCACAAATAAGCAAACAAAAAATTCAAATATAATGTGTTAAATAATAAAGCCAGGCTATTGCTAGAAAATACAATATGTTCTCGGGAAAGGATTTCTTCCCCGCTTTGAAACAGTCTCTCGTCCATGTCTGTAATGTGCTGGTAGGTTGGATAACTGATCTCAAAACCAGGTTTACAGAAGAATTCTCGAAAGCCGTCCGCTCTGCTTCCTTTCCTTCCGTCTCCTCCAGCTCTTCCTAACTCACCTCATCCTGAAACTACGCGTGCCCCAGCATCCCACAACCTGCTGGTAAATCCAGTTGCCAGTTCTCTGCCATTTTCTTTTTTTCTTTTGTGGCATGACTGGAGTTTGAATTTAGGGCCTGGAATCTTACTAGGCGCGTATTGTTCAAACTTGAGTCCTGCCTGTGGTCTTCGTTAATTTTTTGGCTAGAGGCTTGTGTAACTGCCCGGGGCTGCCAATCCTGACTTTCCTACTACCTCCTTCCACCTAGCTGTGATTAGAGATGTGAACAACCATGTCTGCTTTATTTGTTCCGATAGGGTCTCACTTTTTTGCCTTGGCTGCCCTCCAGCTTTGGCTTCCAAAGTAGCTGGGATTACTGGTGTGAGCCACGGTACCCCGCCTGCTCTGTCATTTTCATAATAGTCTCTCCTGGGCTGGGAAGGTGGCTCAGTGGTAGAGCGCTTGCCTCGCATGCATGAGGCCCGGGTTCCATTCCTCAGCACCACATAAGCAGAAAAGTCCAGAAATGGTGCTGTGGACTCTGGTGGTAGAGTGCTAGCCTTGAGCTGAAGAGCTGAGGGACAGCGCCCAGGCCCAGAGTTCAAGCCCCACAACCGACAAAAAGAAAAAGAAAAAAGCCTAATTGGTCTCTCCTGGTATTTCAGAACAACTGTTGAAGCATTGTCTTCCCTTGCCTACTAGTTCTCTTCTCCGGCTCCTCTCACTCCATTCTCCTCTCCTTCTCCGTGCTCGGACACGCCCACCGAAGCCAGGACCAGACCAGACACTTCTGTCCCCATCTCCCTTGGCAAGTCTTTCTACTCTGTGTCTGCGTGTGTGCGTGCCTGTGTGTGTCTGTGTGTCTGTGTGTTTGTGTGTTACGGTTGATTTGGGGGAGAGGGTATTTTTTATTTTTTGTCAGGTATAGGGTTGAATTCTGGGCTTGGGCGCTGTCCCTCAGCTTTTCAGCTCAAGGCAAGCACTCTACCACTTGAGCCATAGCGTCACTTCCAATTTTCTGGTGGCTTATTGGAGTCTAAAGGACTTTCCTGCCCAAGCTGGCTTTGAACTGTGTCCTCAGATCTCAGCCTCCTGAGTAGCTAGGATTACAGGCGAGAGCCACCGGCGCCCCCAGGACCTAGGGTTTGAACTCAGGACCTGGATGCTGTCCCTGAATTTCTGTTGCTCAAGGCTAGCATTCTACCATTTGAACCACAGCTCCACTTCTGGTTTTTGTGGGTGGGGGGTGGTAGTTTATTGGAGCTAAGACTCTCATGGACTTGCCTATTCAGGCTGACTTTGAACCACAATCTTCAGGTCTCAACCTCCAAGTAGCTAGGATTTCAGGCATGAGCCACCAAGACCCAGCCAAGTCCCTCTAACTTTAAAAATTCAATACCAAGTCTGATGAGCCATCATCTTAATCAGCCTCCATTTCCAATTCTAAATCCTTTCCAAACCAGCTGGGCGCCCCCCCCCCCCGGCGTCCTGACTCAGCAGAGACTTCTGAGCACCGGCCCTTCCTGGCCCTTGAGGCCGGAGTGGTTTAGGGACACCGGAACTTTCCTTTCCAGTCTCCATCTTCCAACAGTTTCTTGATAATCAGCTACAGTGACCTAGTTTCAGTCCAAAAAATGAAATTTTTCTTGACTAAGTTTGAATATGACTGTATCAGCTGTGTGTTAAGAATTTTGGCTTTAGGTTTGGCATGTTGTTTAAAATACTCCCATGAAGATGATTAGGGCAAGATGTTCATGTTACAAAAAAACCAAATATATATATATGCTCTTTATTGTGATCCTATCTCTTGAGGAAAAAAAATTAAAAGGCAGTGGGGCTGGGCCAGGGATCCAGTGGCTGCAGTTTGAGCCAGGAAAGCCACGCCCCAGCAGAAGAAAGATGATGGAGGATGAAGGTTCAGAGGGTTTACAGTTACACAGCTGGGCTGTGAGCCTTGGAGATATCACTTCATTCAGCCTCCTTTCGTTGGTGTCCCAAGCAACAGCCCAGCTAGTGGATTCGTACACTCAGGGAAAATGTAGTTTTATTTATTTACTTATTTTGCTTTTTTCCCTCGATTTCTTTTTTGTGCTGGGCCTGGGGCTTGAACTCAGGGCCTGAGCACTGTCCCTGAGCTGAGCTTTTTTTTTTTTTTCTCTACCTCCTGAGCAGTATCTATACTTACAGCTTTTTGGTGGTTAATTAGAGATGAGTCTCACTTAATTTCCTGCCCAACTTGGCTTTGAATCACAATCCTCAGATCAAAGCCTCCTAAGTAAGCTAGAATTACAGCTGTGAGCCACCAACACTTAAAAACAACAAAAAAACAAAAAACTAAAGCTGGGCAGGCCAGTGGCTCAGGCCTGCAATCCTAGCTACTCAGGAGGCTGAGATCTGAGGATCTCATTTCAAAGCCAGACAGGAAAATCTGTGAGACTCTTTTCTCCAAAAAGACCACCAGAAAACTGGAAGTGGCGCTGTGGCTCAAGTGGCAGAGCACTAACCTTGAGCTAAAGAGCACAGGGACAGCACCCAGGCCTAGAGTTCAAGCCCTATGAGCAACAACAACAGCAAAAACTTAGTATACCTTAGTTGTACAAAGGGGAGAGGATTGTTGTGACATTTTTGTGCTTGTGTACAATATATCCCAATCAATCTCACCCTATCACCCCCCCCCCCGTCCCACTCCACCTGCTTAAAGCAACATCAGTGGGTTTAATTGTTATAATTTATGCATAGACCATCCCCCTCCTCCCCTCTTCTTAGCCCTTCCCCCTCCGCTGCCGTCACTCCATCTGAACTGCTTTTACTTTCCTGTACTTTTTTGTTTCTTAGTGTGAATTAATTGCACCAAACGGTTTCACTATAGTATTTCAGCCGTGCATATATTATGTTCTGCTGTAAATAACCCGGCTGTTCCTTCTCTTCTCCTGTCCCCGTGACCCCCTGTTGAGCAGCAGCTTTCGCTGAGGTGAGGTTCTTTATGCCGCCTTCATACATAGTTCACTGAAGTTTGAAATTATTCACCCTCCATCTTTTCCCCTCTCCTCCCCATCCTTCTACACAATCCCATAATTAGAAGTATGTCTTGTGAGCCAGGCGCTGGTGGCTCACACCTGTAATCCTAGCTACTCAGGAGGCTGAGATCTGAGGATCGCGGTTCAAAGCCAGCCCGGGCAGGAATGTCTGTGAAACTCTTATCTCTGATAAAGTACCAGAAAACCGGAAGCGGCACTGTAGCTCAAGTGGTAGAGCGCTCGCCTTGAGCTGAAGAGCTGAGGGACAGCGCCCAGGCCCAGAGTTCAAGCCCCGCAACCGACAAAAAAAAAAAAAAAAAGTAGTATTCCTGTGTGTGTGTGTGGGTGTGTGTGTCTGTATGTGGGTGTGTGTGTCTGTATGTGTCTGTACATCTGTCCATGTCCATGCCCTTTAGGTCTTGCTTCCACCTCTAAGCAAGCGCATATGCTAGCTGGGTTTTTGTTCTCTGTTATCTTGCTCACGATGATGTTCTCCAGTTGTATCTTTTTTTCTGCAAGTGACGGGATTTTATTTTTGTTTCTGGCTATGTAATATTTTATGGCTTATCTATACCACATCTTTTTTTTCAAATTTTTAATTGTGATTAAGTGGTTACATAATTTCCCAAATTTCACAGTATTGTGGGATAGTGAAGCTTAGTTAAAGTCACGAACACTTTGTGTATCGCGGTCTGTGACATTTATGAGTTCTGTGAGCTTTACAATACAGGTATTTCTTCCACATTGGGTGGTATGTACATTTCTTTTGTTTTGCATAGCATCAGCTGTTTCCTCTTATATACCACATCTTTATTGGCACTCAGGCCACAGTCAGTAGAGTTGAGTATATATATATATTTTGTGTGTGTGTGTGTGTATTGATTCTCATCCCCGGCCCCCGTACACCTTGGGATATAATATCCTAGGATTATCTGGTAAAGTCATAAGGAAGGGTTTTTTGTTTTTTTGATTGGTTGTGAGGCTTGAACTTAGGTCTGGGTGCTGTCCCAAGGCTTATACTTTACCACTTGAGCTGTAGCTCCACTTCTGGCTTTTGGACAGTTATTGAAGATAAGAGTCTCATGGACATTCTTACCCAGATTGGATTCGAACTCTGATCCTCACATCTCAGCTTTTTATTGTTGTTGTTGTTGTTGTGGGGCCTGAACTCTGGGCCTGGGCGCTGTCCCTCAGCTCTTCAGCTCAAGAGTAGCGCTCTACCACTTGAGCCACAGCACACTTCTGGCTTTTTCTGCTTATGTGGTACTGAGGAATCGAACCCAGGGCCTCATGCATGCAAGGCAAACATTCTACCACTGAGCCACCTTCCCAGCCCACATCTCAGCTTTTTTGAGTAGCTAGGATTATGGGCATGAGCACCTGGCTTGGTTGAGCCTTTTGATCCTTGAGTTCCTTGGTGACTTCCTTTCTAGGCCTTCTTGGGTGGACCTTTTCCCATGGTGTGTAATGTTGCTTGTGACTAGCTGTCTCTCTCTCTAGAGTGGCTTTCTGGGTAGGCATCGTGCTGAACTGACAGACTGCTGAGCACGGCACTGTCACACAGTTCGGTTCATGCTCCACACACAGCAGTCTCTGCATAACTAATTAATAGCACCGCTAGCAGCCATCGCTAACATTCCTTGTTCTTTTTGTGGAGAGCTGTCTTGAGGGCTACCTCTGGAACCCTAGTCCTTTTTCTCTTTTACTTTGTTTTGTGGATACGCTTTCTCATTTTTGTTCTTGGAACCTTGGACCACAATTTTCTTATGCTCCCTCCATAGTTGGGATTATACGCATATGCTACCATGCCCAACACTTTGGACAAACTTATGAGAACATTGCTTTTTGTTCTTTTCACACATCAAGACTTTCATCTGTGATAAAAGGGCCTGTAAAGAGGCCACCCAGATGTGTTTTAATCCCAGAACCACTAGAAAAGCAGTGGGAGGACCTGGGGGTGTGGAGGAGGAAGCAGGCACTATGCATTTCTAGGTAGTCAGAGTGATTTACTGTCTAGCACATGTGAACAAAGGACTTGAGAAGAGCCGTGACTTCAAGCCACCAGAAAACTGTGACCATCTGGATCCCAGACCACGCAAGAGGGAGTAAGGACTGAGCGAGGCCCAGCGTGGTATATGCTTTGTCCCAGGACGGCAGACAGACACATCCACCCAGATTTCACGGAGCCAAGAGCCGGACCCGTTCTGACAAAGTCCTGACAAATCTGCTTGGAGATGGAGCAGGGGCCAGGGCTGGTGTCACTCAGTCAGGAGGGAAGTTGTAGCTGCTTTGGAGAAGGGCCAGGAGAGAGGGAAGGAAAAGGCTGGAGAGGGGGCTGCAGGGGCTGCATGCTTAATTACATCTTCCAGTGGCGTCTGCCATGTTCTCCGCTTCAGGAGAAGCATAGAAACTTCTCAGGCTTCGGCAGCGCTGGTGGCTCACACCTGTAATTCTAGCTCCTCAGAGAGCTGTAATATGAGGATTGCAGTTCAAAGCCAATCAGATTCTCAAGAGGCTGAGTCCTGAAGATCATGGTTTGAATCCAGCCTAGGCAGGAAACTCCATGAGACTACTGTTTTTTGTTTGTTGTTTGTTGTTTTTGTCAGTCGTGGGGCTTGAACTCTGGGCTTGGGTGCTGTATCTCAGCTCTTCAGCTCAAGGCAAGCCTCTACCACTTGAGTCACAGCACCACTTCTGGTTTTCTGAATGGTTTGTTGGAGATAAGAGTCTCACGGAGTTTCCTGACTGGGCTGGCTTTGAACCACCATCCTCAGATCTCAGCCTTCTGAGTAGCTAGGATTACAGGCGTGAGCCACCAATTCCGAGCAAGTCAATGATATTCTTTTTTTTTTTTTGTCGGTCGTGGGGCTTGAACTCTGGGCTTGGGCGCTGTCCCTCAGCTCTTCAGCTCAAGGCGAGCGCTCTACCACTTGAGCTACTGCGCCACTTCCGGTTTTCTGGTCGTTTATTGGAGATAGGAGTCTCACGGTCTCTCCTGCCCGGGCTGGCTTTGAACCGTGATCCTCAGATCTCAGCCTCCTGAGTAGCTAGGATTACAGGCGTGAGCCACCAGCGCCCGGCTGTCAATGATATTCTTATCTCCAGTTAATTACAAAAAGGCTGGAGGTGGATCTGTGGTTCCAGTGATTCAGTGTCAACCTTGCAAAAAACTATGGGACCGTGCTCAGGCCCTTAGTTCAAGCCCTAATACTAGCACACATAGAAAGAAAAATAAAAGGGAAGGGAAGGGAAGGGAAAACTTCTCATGCCTAGACCTTCTTCTATATCCCTCCAAATATTGAAGCAATGTATGCTCTATAAACACTAGGCAGTCAGTCTTCAAAGGCCAGGAAAATAGGCAGAGAAATCACTCGCTACTCCTCAGTCCTGAGGCGGCAGCTCTGTATTTCACTGGTTTCTTGTTTTAATTTTCTAGAGATAGGTTTACAAAGATGGGGTTATGTTCTATAGACACACGTTACCCTTTTCACTTAGCATAAGTCACCAATCTCACACCAGGCATGGTAGTACATGCCTCTAATCCCAATACTAGGGAGGCAGGATGATCGTGAGTTTGAAGCCAGCCTGAACTATACAACATGTTCAAACTAGCCTGAAATATATAGCCCTTGCCTCTCAAAATAACAAAACTTAAAAGTTAGCCGTGTTTTTGTTGATGAATATTTCTATCTTTTACCAAAAATAAAAATTTTTATTTACTCTGTGTGTGTGTATGTGCGCGTGCGCGCCAGGACTAGGACTTGAACTCAGGGACTTGGTGTGCGCTCTCTCTCTTCTCTCTCTTTTTTCTTTTTTTTTTTTTTAAATATTATTTATTTGTTTATTTATTTATTTATTTTGGGTCCAGTAGTGGGGCCTGAACTCTAGGCCTGGGCGCTGTCCCTTAGCTCTTCAGCTCAAGGCTAGCACTCTACCACTTGAGCCACAGCACCACTTCCGGCTTTTTTCTTTTTGCTTATGTGGTGCTGAGGAATCGAACCCAGGGCCCCATGCTTGCAAGGCAAGTACTTTACCACTGAGCCACCTTCCCAGCCCTTCTCTCTCTTTTTTCAAGACTGGCACTCTACCACTTTCATTTTTATTTTTGGTGGTTAATCGGAAATCAGAGTCTCACAGACTTTCCTACCCAGGCTGGCTTTGAACCACAATCCTCGGATCTCAGCTTCCTAAGTAGCAAGGATTACAGGTGCAAGCCACCTGTGCCAACCTATTGGCTGAACTTTTGCCTCAAATAACCTGTATTCTCTGACCCACCCTAAACTGATTCAAGTTCTCTGTTGCTTCCCATGTTGCCCCACCCAGGAAGTCCTATGAATTTGAAGACTTGCTGCAGACATCCTCCGAGAGCAGGGTGGACTGGTATGCCCAGACTAAGCTGGGGCTCACACGCACCTTCTCTGAGGAGAACGTTTATGAGGACATTCTAGGTAAGAGGCCCAAATGCCCATGTCGAAGCCCAGGATGGCTTCAAACCATGATGCTCAGATCTCAGCCTCCTGAGGAGCTAGGATTCCAGGCATGAGCCACCAGTACCCAGCTGCTTCCTCCATTTCTCGTCTTCTGGTTAGCTCCATTCTCAGTAGCAGTGGCAGGGCCTGCATGGGTCCCAGGACCACAAGTCCTTCCCCAAACCCATCACTGAGGCCGGATCTCCTCACAGGGGCTGAAGCCCAGAGACCAGAAGTGGGGATCATCTTGTGTGCCTACAAATAGGAAGACAGAGCCAACCCAATAGAAATCAGGCTGGTGGCTAGCCAGACAGTAAATATCCTATAGGAACTAATGCAGAAGAGGCCAACATGGAGGCCTCCAGTCCCACGTGACGAAACTTCCCCGGTCCCTTACCCCATGCCCGTGGCCGCAGATCCACCAGCGAAGGAGAACCCTTACGAGGACATCGAGCTCCATGGCCGCTGCCTGGGCAAGAAGTGTGTCCTCACCTTCCCCGTGTCTCCCACCTCTTCCATCCCAGACACATCTACCAAGGTATGAGCCTCCAGGGAGTGGGGATGGGTGGGGGAGGGACACAAAAGATGGCCCCCCGTACTCTGTGGGGGGGCCTCATACTCTGCAGTTCCACACCCGCCTCCTGATGCTGTTCCTTCTCTCTACCTGACTGGTCTTCCCCTGTTTCTCCTGCACCCTGCCTGCTCAGTCAAGCCTTCTAAAACGCCATTGAGCTTCTGCCTTGTCTGGCCTCAAACCATGATCCTCCTGTCCTCAGCCACCCCCCAAATAGCTAAGAATACAGGTATGAACCCGGTGCTAGTGACTTCAACCTGTAATCACTTATACCTAGCTACTCACGAGGAAAAGATCTGAGGATCCCAGTTCAAAGCCAGCCTGTGCAAGAAAGTCTGTGAGACTCTCACTCCCATTTAAACAACAAAAACTGAAAGTGGCTCAACCTTCAGCAAAAAAAGCAAGAGACGGTGCCCAGGCACAGAATGCAAGCCCCAATATTGGTACCCAAAATAGAACCATAGATAGATAGAGAAGCAGGGGAGACTGGGTACCAACAGGAGCCAAAATGCCTGGGTAATCCGCAAGGCAGCAGGCTCAGCAACACGGGACCCAGGCCTGCCACAGGAGGCTCCAATTGCAAGTCCCCCCTTTGTGCCCCTGTGGGGGCAGTGCAGTGGCTTATGGGAAAGACCTGCTGCTGCCAGGCAGAGAAAAGCTAGTGCCTCTGCTTCGAGAACAATCCAGTCAGAGATGCTGCCACCCCGAGCCTGCCATCCAGAGGCTGCATTTTGGGGGAGTGGGGGGAGGCGGAGGGCAGAGAGGAGGACAGGACACAGATTCATTGGCCAAGGCACCTATGTGGTTGCCACTGATTCTTGCAGGCTGCCGGGGCCTCTGCAAGTCATCCTCCAGGCCCTGCATCTGCACACATCACTCTGCTCCCCCACATCTGGGTGTCTGGTTATCCCCGGTTCTAAGGGACAGCTGCAGACCCCACCACTTCCTCCATTCGGCTCATCAAATATTCGCTGAACATCTGTCACAGCTGGGCTGCAGCTGGGGCCTCCAAGTAGCTGAAGCAGACTCTCCGTGCTCACCTCCCCTGCCAGCCAAGGCCCAGAGCCATCTTGGGGTGTTGATTTGTGCGATATGGGTGCACAGGGAGGGCGAGTTGGACAGAATCCCCTCACACAGGAGCAGATCGGGGCGGGGGGCGGGGGCAGGGTAGCAGGGATGGATGCTGAGCTTGTGAACCTAACTTTCCAGTTCCTGAAAAGGGACCTGCGTCTTCCTTACTACTCTATCTAGTCCCTGCCTAGAGAATATGGCAAGAGCAATGAGATAAAGGAAACCTGAGCTGGTCTTAGATACTCTGTTTGTTGATGTTGTTGTTTTACACGTTGACCTCATTCAGGAAAGGAGAGTTGGTGAGCTAGGTACTGGAGGCTCTGGCCTGTGATCCTAGCTACCCAGGAGGCTGAGGACTGTGGTGTGAAGCCAGCTCAGGCAGGAAAATCCATAAGACTCTCATCAGAAGTTGGAAGGGGCTTTAGCTCAAGTAGTAGAGAGCTAGCCTTGAGACAAAAGGCTCAAAAACAGCACCTAGGCCAAGACCACACACACACACGCACACACACACGCACAAACGCACACATACACACGAGAGTAAGTGTTAACTTGTCAGGGCTTTAGTGTGTTCCCCTCTGAGGAGCCACAGCACTTGTTTTCTTTTGTTTTCTTTTTCACTGTGCTGCTCATACTGGGGCTTGAACTCAGGGCCTCTTGCACTCACACATCTTTTATGCTCAACACCGGCACACTACCACTTGCACCACACCTCTATCTCTGGCTTTTAGCTGATTAACAGGGGATAAGAATCTGGAGGATTTGTCTGCCCAGCCTGGCTTCAAATCATGATCCTCAGATCTTGGCCTCCTGAGTAGCAAAGATGACAGGCATGAGCCACCAGCGCCTGGCTCTCCCATCTGTGTTGAAGTCCTCCCTTTGAGCCATCAAGAGTCGGCTCAGGTGGTTTTGCTCTTTTTCAATGAAGTCTGGTCTCAGGCTGTAACATAGACCAAGTGGTAATTTGCTATCCTGCCGCACACTTGCCAAGAAATTCCACCTCCCTCATAAACAATACCTGAGTATATGGTGATTTATGTGGTGTTCTGGGACATACCTAGAGCCCCGTTCTCCAGCAGCGTGACACTGGGCCATGCTGCCCACACCCGGCTTGTGCCAGGCCTCTTGGCATTCTTTATGAAGTTGTGTGCCATGTTTTGATTTCGCCTCTTTTGTTCTTTCCTCTCACATCTTTTCATAGGTCAAATCTCCTTTAAGCAAACACTAATACAATGTAAATCTCTGATGAAAACAGATGCTTACCAGCTGCCAGTCGTTTGACAGACTGCAATGTGGTGAAAGACTTGGATTTCACTGCAGATGGAGGCCTTTATTGAGAAGGCTGCCGCTCTTCCTTCAGAGTGGTCAGGATGCCAAGAGTGGCCAAACCTGGTTGGCTGTTCCTCTCCTTAAAGCCTCCTGTACTAAGCAATTTCTTTTTCCTTATGGAGCTAGCCATGACAACTGAGAGTCTTCATTCCTGGAAATATCGACAAAGAAAAGGTTCTAAACTTATCACTACATATTACTTGAAACCAAACAAGAATGCAGAACTTGCTAGAACAAAATACACCTTTACCCCGTGCCCTCCCCCCCCCCACCTTCAGTCGTGGGGCTTGAATTCCGGGCCTGGGCGCTGTCCCTCAGCTCTTCAGCTCCAAGGCAAGTGCTCTACCACTTGAGCCACAGCGCCACTTCCAGTTTGTGAGTGGTTAATTGGAGATAAGAGTCTCACAGGTATTTTCCTGCCCAGGCTGACTTTGAACTTTGAACCTTAGATCTCAGCCTCCTTCCTGAGTAACTAGGATTACAGGTGTGACCCACTGGCACCTGGCTTAGACCATCTTTTTTTTTGTGTGTGGTCATGGGGCCAGACCTCTGGGCCTGGGTGCCGTCCCTCGGCTCTTGAGCTCAAGGCTAACACTCTACCACTTGAGCCACAGTATCACTCTTCCCGCTTTTTCTGTTTATGTGGTGCTGAGGAATTGAACCCAGGGCCTCATGCATGTTAGGCAAACACTCTACCACTGAGCCACCTTCCCAGCCCCTTAGACCATCTTAAGAGAGTTTGACATGATAAATGTGGCCAGGCATCCATAGTTTATACCTATACTAGCTATTCAGGAGGCTGAAATCTGAAGATTGTGGTCCAAAGCCAGCCTTGATAGGAAAATCCACGAGACTCATCTTCACTTAACCATCAAAAAATCCAGAAATAGGGCTGGGAAGGTGGCTCAGTGGTAGAGCGCTTGCCTTGCATGCATGAGGCCCTGGGTTCAATTCCTCAGCCCCACATAAGCAAAAAGAAAAAAGCCGGAAGTGGTGCTGTGGCTCAAGTGGTAGAGCGCTAGCCTTGAGCTGAAGAGCTGAGGGACAGCGCCCAGGCCCAGAGTTCAGGCCCCACTACCAGACCCAAAAAAAAAAAAAATCCAGAAATAGAGCTGTGCCTCAAGTGGTAGAGTGCTAGCTTTGAGCTGAAGAAGCTCAGGGACACCCTGAGTTCAAGCTCCAGGACTGGCATCAAAAAGACAAAAGAAATAGGATGTTGAGGCCTGGGGAAGACCAGGAAGCAGCTAACCCAAGGAGGCAGCAGGGGCCCGGCTCGCCTGGGTCTCACAACGCCCAGTACCTGTGCCTTGTGCTCTCAGAAAGCCTCATCTCCAGAGCCGTTGGGTGCGGGAGCCACGCGGCTTGCCACCTGTCTGAAGAGGGACTGGGTTGGGTTTACATCATTTATCACACCAGATTTCCACAAGGGGAGGGTAAGTGTCTGCTGAGCTTAGCGTGGACACACGCTGTGTACCCCAGGAGCCCAGACCCGCCCCCCCTTCTATCCCATGGTCTCACGGGGCAGGCCCAGTTACCTCCAGCCTGCGTCTCCTTTGCCTGGATTTATTTACTCTCCTGTTCTTTTCCTCACATAAAGACATTGTCCAAACCGACTTTTTTCCGGCAAAATTCCGAGAGGAGGAATTTCAAGCTCCTGGATGCTAGGAAGCTGAGTCGGGATGGAACTGGGTCCCCTTCCAAAACCAGCCCCCCCTCCACGCCCAGCAGCCCCGACGACACCTTCTTTAACCTAGGAGACCAACAGAATGGCAGGAAGAAGAAGAAGATCCCCAAGGTAAGGCTTGCAGCCAACCACGTGTCCCCAACTTCACACCCCTCCCCCCTCTGCAGCGGAAGCCAGGCAGAGACACCCCATACACACACACACACACACCTCCATCCAGGACCCTCCAGGCCCCTCCTCTGTGGACCTTGTAAGGATGGGCTGCTGACATGGGCTTTTCTCCTTGTGTCTAAACAGCTGGTGTTGAGAATCAATGCCATTTATGAGGCCCGGAGAGGAAAGAAACGGGTGAAGAGGCTGTCCCAGTCCACAGAGAGCAACTCAGGAAAAGGTAGAAGCCCTGGGGACTCCATCCTTCCTCCCCCCAGCACCGGAAAACGTCCTTTCTAGACAAAATGGTCAGTGCCAGCAGCTTAGCCTGGCTAGCACATGCTCTCTGGCTCCTACTGCCCCACCTGCCCATGGCCACAACTTTTCTGACTTGGACTCACAAAGGGCAGATGTCTTCCTGTAATATTTGATAAAGGAGCCATCTGGCCAGCGCTGGTGGCTCACGCCGGGCAGGAAAGTCCCTGAAACTATCTCCAACAAACCACTAGAAAACCAGAAGTGGCGCTATAGCTCAAGCAGTAGAGCACTAGCCTTGAGCTGAAGAGCTGAGGGACATGGCTGGGAAGGTGGCTCAGTGGTAGAGCGCTTGCCTTGCATGCATGAGGCCCTGGGCTCAATTCCTCAGCACCACATAAGCAGAAAATAAAGAAGCTGGAAGTGGTGCTATGGCTCAAGTGGTAGAGCACTAGCCTTGAGCTGAAGAGCTGAGGAACAGTGCCCAGACCCAGAGTTCAGGCCCCACGACCAAACCCAAAAAAAAAAAGAACTGAGGGACAGCGCTCAGGCCCAGAGTTCAAGCCCCACAACCAACCAAAAAAAAAGAGCCATCTGACCTAGAATCCGTTGAGTTGAACAGTGTGTCCATTACATTTAAACAGATGACAAGATATCCCCTCTGATCTAGGAATTCTGGATCCGTTTCTTGCACTTCAAGAATTCACATTTGCCTCTTTGTTCTTTTTGTTTAGTGACAGACGAGAACAGTGAGTCCGACAGCGACACAGAGGAGAAGCTGAAAGGTGAGAGAGCAGTTGGCATCAAGGTGCCTGCGGGGACTCAGAGGTCACACAGATGCCCCCTCATCCCTAGCTTGCGGGACAGACTTGTCCTGTCCAGGTTTGCTTGGCAAAGCACGAGTGTCTGAGAAGACACGGGGGCCCAGTGGGTATGCAGGCAGGACAACAAGGCGCTGTCACCCAGCCTCACGTAGCTGCAGAGATCCAAGGTGGCTGTGAGCAGAGCCAGCACCAGTGGCTTATACCCGTAATCTCCGTTCAAAAGCAGTCTGGGCAGATAAATCTGTAAGACTCTTATATCCAATTAAAACCTAAAAAATGGAGCTGCTATTCAAGTGGTAGAGCACTAGCCTTAAGCAAAAGAAAAGCTAAGGGACAGTAGCAGGCCCTGAGTTCAAGCCCCAGTACTAGGACACACACACACACACACACACACACACGCACACGCACACACACACACATACACAGAGTGTAACTGTCCAATTGCTGTAGCCACCCTGTTCCCACGCCTCTTAAAGGCAATCTCTTCAGACCTCAGGACCTCCGGCTGCTCACCCGTCAGATGAACTTGTTGAAATCATTGGCCCCTCTTGGGGCCAATTAACCTTCAGCAATTCCAATCTAAACTCGTGAGTTTGATGCGATTTCTCAGACCTCGGAATTGGCTGCTCAGTGACCCTGCCACGTTGCTCCCTAGGCCACCCCTAGCGCCAAACAAGCCTACCACCACTGTAGAAGGATGGGAGGGAGGCGAACCCGAGCTCCCCATTAGCCAGAGCTCTGCCAGTTGAGTCACATGGATGTTTACAAAGTTCCATCCCAAAAGCTGTGTGCTCTGGATTTTGTTGCCTCACAGACTGAAAGACAGCTTGAATGAGTGAGGGGAGGAGCCCAGGTGCCCACCCCCAAAGACCAGTGGAGGTGAGGCCTTGATCGGCCTTTGGCCTGGAGGCCAGACCACAAATCTGTGGCTCCTGCCGCCCCAGGTCCCCCACGCAAGCCTGAGGGGGTGCTCCTCCCAGGAGTTTGGCCATGGTCCCAAGCCAAGAATCTTCTACTAATTTGTGAGCTGTGGAAATACCCTGGAGATGAGAGACAAGCCCTGGAGTGGGGATTACGTAACCTGGATGGCGCTGTGCAGTTCCACAGCAGCAGCAGAACCGTGTCAGTCCCTGGTCTGTCTCTGTCTTCCCCAGCTCACAGCCAGCGCCTGGTGAACGTGAAGTCCCGTCTGAAGCAGGCCCCTCGGTACCCACCTCCCGCCAGAGAGCTCCTGGAGTACCAGGAGAGGGAGCTGTTCGAGTACTTCGTGGTGGTGTCCCTGCACAGGAAGCAGGCGGGGGCTGCCTATGTGCCTGAGCTCACCCAGCAGTTCCCCCTAAAGGTAAGGGGGACCCCTGGCTCCTGCCGGCTGCCAGGGGCGGGGTGGGGGGGGTCATACACAAGAGGCAGCTTTTCCTTGTGTTGGTTGTTTTTGTGTACTAATACTGGGGTTTGAACTCATTTGGCTTTTCCATTCAGGGCTGGCTGGCGCTGTACCACTTGAGACACCTCTACTTCTGGCATTTTGCTGGTTAATTGGAGATATCTCAGCCTTTTCTGCCAAGGCTGGCTTCAAATCTGGATCCTCAAATCTCAGTCTCCTAAATAGCTAAGATTATAGGTGTGAGCCACCAGCCCCTGACTAAAGGCAGTTTCTTTTTTGTTGTTGTGGTTTTGGTTTTGGTTTTTTGGTCTTGGACTTGAACTCTAGGCCTGGGTGCTCTCCCAGAGCTCTTTTGCTCAAGGCTTTGAGCCACAGCTCCATTTCCAGTTTTTGAGTGGTTAATGGAAGATTAGAATCTCATGGGGATTTTTCTGCCCAAACTGCCTCTGAGCCACGATCCTCAGTTCTCAGTCTCTTGAGTAGCTAGGATTATAGGCATGAGTCACCAACACCTGGGTTTAGAGGTAGTTTTTTAAGATTGAAAACCATCAGATCAGTCTGTTCTGCCCCTCTGGATGCTCTCCTCATATTCCTCTTCATACACAAAATAAGCAAATCCTTGACTCTATATAATCTTGAAACTGGACTTTAGTTCAACCAGGCTCTTAGCATGATCAATCTCATCTGGGAAGCTGAGATCTGAGAACCACAGTTCAAAGCCAGCCCAGACAGACAAATCCTCAAGAAGCCAGAAGTGGAGGTATGCCTCAAGCAGTAGAACACCAGTTGTGAGTGGAAAAGCCAAGTGAGATCTAGAAGCCCTGAGTTCAAGTCATGGTCAGGAAGGAAGGAAAAGAGAGAAGGAAGGAAGGAGGGAGGAAAATGAAGGAAGGAGGGAGGGAAGGACAAAGGAGGGAAAAGGAAGAAAAAGACATCAGAGATTTCAGTAATTTTCCTTCCACATCTAACACTAGCTGTATGATCAGGACAAATAACACACAGCAAGACATATTTCCTTTTCTGTGGAATAAGAGTCTGCATAAAGTCTAGGTCCCTTCATATCACACACTCAGTGACTTCCATATTAGTGGGATTCTAGTGAAACATGATTTTCCTGTCTGTATTCACGATGAGTTTCTCTGGGCCCAGAGATGGGAAGACCAGCTGGGAACCCCAGTCCTCTAGATCCAAAAGCCTCCCTGGTGACAGAATGGAAGAGTTATATTTCAGAACACTAAGCATAGAGAATATTGCCCTGAAATATATAGTGGTGGTGGTGGTTGGGTTGGGTTTTTTTGGTCCTGACTGTTAGTCACATCTGCCCTGGGAGGAAAGGCTCCACAGACCAAACCCCAAATCCTCCCAAGGAAGGAGGCTGCAGAGAAAGTCACAGCTGTGGAAAGAGGGAAACATAATCTTTGCCAAACTCTGCCTCACCATCTCATGCCGGGGTTTGTTCTCTAATCTTCTCTCACCTTCTCCCTCCAGTTGGAAAGGTCTTTCAAGTTCGTGAGAGAGGCTGAGGACCAGCTCAAGGCTATTCCTCAGTTCTGTTTCCCAGACGCTAAGGACTGGAGTCCTGTCCAGCAGTTTACCAGGTATGGGCTGGCATCTCCCCTTCCCACCCACAGACAAAGGGATGGTCATGGGCTGAGAATGTGGCTTACTGGTAGAGTGCTTGCCTAGCATGTATGAAGTCCTGGGTTCAATTCCTTAGGACCACATAAACAGGAAAACAAAACCAAAACACAGAAGTAGCACTGTAGCTCAAGTGGTAGAATGGTAGTCTTAAGCAAAAGTTGTTCAGGGATAGTAGCTAGGCTCTGAGTTCAAGATCCAGGACTGGAAAAAAAGACGGGGGGGGGGGATAGGGGGCGGGAATCGTAGTGGGCAGACTCCACAAGTCAGCCCTTGCATTAACCAGTCAGTCATGATGGGCCCCAGCCTAGGGGTTTCTGGCTTTTTCTGCTTATGTGGTGCTGACGTATCAAACCCAGGGCTCATGCATGCAAGGCAAGCACTCTACCACTGAGCCACCTTCACAACCATCCAGGAGACTCTTATCTCCAATTAACCACCAGAAAACCGGAAGTGGCACTATGGCCCAAGGGTAGAATGCTAGCCTTGAAGAGCCGAGGGACAGCACCCAGGCCCAGAGTTCAAGCCCCACGACCACAAAAAAAACAAATGAACAAACAAAAAACAACTTTTTCCTGGTTAGGCAGATTTATGAAGCGTGCTGCTCGGTCTGAGAGTGTGTGCTTCATAAGCTTCACTAAGGCACTTCTTAGTCTGGGAAAAGTTAGGGAAATGTTGCCCATCATCCATCCTCACCCAGTGATCTTGAAATACTGGGCTCAGTTTGCATTCCTATTACCCCACGTTGAATTCAACCTTTGACTGACCTCAGCAGGCTACATATGCTCTTTTAGGAACACCAGGTCCTGTGGAATTCCCCCGGCAGTCTTACATTGACAGTAGAGATGGGCCGTTGGATTTGTTTAGCTTTGTAATGACTTTGTGTTTTTCCAACCACAGTGAAACATTCTCATTTGTCTTAACTGGAGAAGATGGGAGCCGAAGATTTGGATATTGCCGAAGACTGCTGGTTAGTACTGTCTGCTTCTCCATCAGTCAGAGCTCATAAAGAACAAAATCTAGCTTCCTAATCCCTTGAGACCATGTGGCACAAAAACAAAATAGCCAGTGTAGCAGGTTGGCTAATATAGTTAGAAATGCACCAGAGAAGCCGGGCGCTGGTGGCTCACGCCTGTAATCCTAGCTACTCAGGAGGCTGAGATCTGAGGATCGCTGTTCAAAGCCAGCCCGGGCAGGAGAGACCTTGAGACTCCTATCTCCAATAAACCACCAGAAAACCGGAAGTGGTGCTGTAGTTCAAGCGGTAGAGCACTCGCCTTGAGCTGAAGAGCTGAGGGACAGCGCCCAGGCCCAGAGTTCAAGCCCCACAACCGATCAAAAAAAAAAAAAAGAAAAAGAAATGCACCAGAGAGACGGGCGCTTATGGCTCATGCCTGTAATAGCTACTCAGGAGGCTGAGATCTGAGGATCACGGTTCAAAGCCAGCCTGGACAGGGAAGTATCTGTGAGACTCTTATCTCCAATTAACTCGCAGAAAACCAAAAGTAGCTCTGTAACTCAAAATGCTAGAGCACTAGCCTTGAGCTAAAGAGCTCAAGGACAGAGCCCAGGCCCAGAGTTCAAGCCCCAACACCAAAAAAAAAAAAAACAGCAAAAGTGTCAAGTGCTAGTGACTCATGTCTATAATCCTAGCTACTCCAGAAGTTGACATACCAACAATTAACTACCAAAAAGCTGGACATGTAACTGTGGCTCAAGTGATAGAGCACTACCCTTGAGAAGAAAAAGCTCAGGGACAGTGCCTAAACCTCAGGACCAGCATACACATGCGCATGCACGCACACACACGCATACACGCACAGATTCTCTTAGTATATGTATGTGTGTCTGTATACACACACAGCATATACATTTCTGTGTGTATATCTCTATAATCAATATATATGTAGAGAAAGTCAGGCATAGCAATCAATACAATCAATATATCTCTATAATCCTAGTTACTTGGGAGGCTGAAGCCAGCAGATCAGCAGTTTGAGGCCAGCATGGACAATATTGTGAAGCTTACTTCAAAAAAAGTAAAAACAGGGCTGGGAAGGTGGCTCAGTGGTAGAGCACTTGCCTTGCATGCGTGAGGCCCTGGGTTTGATTCCTCAGCCCCACATAAGCAAAAAGAAAAAAGCCGGAAGTGGTGCTGTGGCTCAAGTGGTAGAGCGCTAGCCTTGAGCTGAAGAGCTGAGAGACAGCGCCCAGGCCCTGAGTTCAGGCCCCACGACTGGCCCCCCCCCAAAAAAAAGGAAAAACAAAGCTAGTCACTGATGGCTCATCCCTATAATCCTAGCTACTCAGGAGGTTGACATCTGAGATCATGGTTCAAAGCCAGCCCAGACAGGAAATTCCATGAGACTTAACTCCAGTTAATCACCAAAAAGGCAGCTGATGGGAAGAAAAGCAGTTTTGAGGTCCTAGAATTCATGGCACAGTGGCTTTTGTTCTATAGGGAGGGAAGGCTTGTCCTCTCTGTGTTGGTGTTCACAAGGTTGTTAGGTTCTGTTCTGACCCATCTGATCAGATTACCCATCCACTATCAGCTCAACATCATCTGGCTCTCAAAGATTCCACGTTACTTAGTCACCAACTGAGACTCACATCTTAAATTTTCCTGCCAACTGGCCACCTTCTCCTTAGATGTCCCTTACTGTGTCAAATGAAATTGAGATCTGGGGGTCTCATGTACTTTCCTGCCCAGGCTGGCTTCAAACCACAATCCTCAGATCTCAGCCTCCTGAGTTGCTAGAATTACAGACATGAGCCATTAGTACCCAACTAGAACCTACATTTTTTTTAGCCACAATCACTGGCAAATCTTTAGAGATAACAAATCTTTTTCTACTGAGAGTTTGAATTATGAAAATAAGATAGAAAACATGAGAAATCAATACTATTTTTTTTTTTTTGGTCAGTCGTGGGGCTTGAACTCTGGGCTTGGGCTCTGTCCCTGTGCTCTTCAACTCAAGGCAAGCACTCTATCACTTGAGCTACAGTGCCACTTCTGGTTTTCTAGTGGTTTATTGAAGATAGTCTCACGGACTTTCCTGCTTGGGCTGGCTTTGAACCGAGATCCTTAGATCTCAGCCTCCTGAGTAGCTAGGATTACAGGCGTGAGCTTCTGGTGCCCGGCTTTTTCAATACTATATTTTTAAATGTGTGTGTCAATACTGTGGCTTGAACTCAGAGTTCTCGTTCAGCTTTTTTTATTCAACTGACACTTTACCACTTGAGTCATACTTTAGTCCAGCATTTTACCATTTTACTGGTTAATTGAAGATATAGATGAACACTTTTCTGCTCGGGCTGGCTTTGAACCAAGATACTTTTTTTTTTTTTTTGTCTGTCATGGGGCTTGAACTCTGGCCCTGGGCGCTGTCCCTCAGCTCTTCAGCTCAAGGCTAGCACTCTACCACTTGAGCCACAGCACCACATCCAGTTTTCTGATAGTTAATTGGAGATAAGAGTCTCACAGGGACTTTTCTGCCCAGGCTGGCTTTGAACTACAGTCTTCAGATCTCAGCCTCCAGAGTAGCTAGGCTTACAGGCATGAGCCACCAGTGCCTGGCCAGGATACTTTTAAGTTAGGATTTTCAAGTAACTTGAAAGTTTTGAGAATGATTTTGGATTTTCATTTGAAGACTAGTTAAAAAATAAGTTTCCAAAAAGACCTTCTGCATGATTTCTCATTTGGAATCATCATTGTAATAAGCATTTGATCTCAGAATAGCTCCTTAGAATGACCTACAGTAACATGGGCTAATCAGCTAATGGCACAGCTAGGTATGTAATTACCTTAATTTGGGCCCTTCAGGAGAAGATGTGCTTTCCAACTATAAAACTGGAGTATTTCTAAGTATTTACCATATAGGGTTTTAAAAAGCTATGGTGTATGGAAATATCTGTTATAGACTCAAAAGCATTTGGAGCTAAGCATGGTGGTACATGGTTGTAATCCCAGCACTCAAGAGGCCAAGGCAGGAAGATTGAGAATTCAAGGCCATCCTGGGCTACATATTGGAATCCTGCCTGAAAAGAAAGGGAAAGAGAAACGAAAAGCTTGCCAGCTCTTTCCTTCACTGAGGCTGTTAGCATTCACATTGCATTTGTGTTTCTCTCCCAAAAGCCTGGGGGTAGAGGGAAACGCCTTCCTGAAGTTTACTGCATCGTGAGCCGGCTGGGCTGCTTCAGCCTCTTTTCAAAGGTGAGAATTTGGGCCGGGAGAAAGGGATGGGGGAAAGAAAAGTGGACAAGGGGCTGGGAAGGTGGCTCAGTGGTAGAGTGTTTTGCTTTGCATGCATGAGGCCTTGGGTTCGATTCCTCAGCATCACATAAGCAGAAAAAGCCGGAAATAGCGCTGTGGCTCAAGTGGCAGAGCACTGGCCTTGATCTGAAGAGCTCAAAGACAGCGCCCAGGCCCAGAGTTCAAGCCCCACGAAAAAAAAGGCAGACAAGTCCATGAGACTCTTTTCTCTAATTAACCAGCAAAAAAACAAAACAAAACAAAAAAATGGATTGGAGCTGTGACTCAAGTGATAAAGTACCAGCCTTGAGCAAAAAAGCTAAAGAACAGAGCTCAGGCCCTGAGTTCAAGTCCTAGTACCATTTAAAAAAATTCCCAGCCAGGAGCTGGTGGCTCACGCCTGTAATCCTAACTACTCAGGAGGCTGAGATCTGAGGATCTCAGTTCAAAGCCAGCCTGGGCAGGAAAGTCCCTGAGACTCTTATCTCCAATAGAAAACCGGAGGTAGTGCTGTGGCTCAAGTGGTAGAGCACTTGCCTTGAGCTGAAGAGCGCAGGGACAGCACCCAAGCCCAGAGTCCAAGCCCCACAACCGACCAAAAAAAATATAAATAAATAAATTCCCAAGGGGCTGGAAGGTGGCTCAGTTGTAGAATGCTTGCCTTGCATGCATGAGGCCCTGGATTTGATTCATCAGCACCACATAAGCAGAAAAGGCCGGAAGTGGCACTGTGGCTCAAGTGGTAAAGTGCTAGCCTTGAGCTGAAGAGCTAAGGGACAGCGCCCAGGCCCAAAGTTCAGGCCCCACAACCAACAACAACAACAAAAAATCCCAAGTGGGGATCAGTGGCTCATGCCTGTCTATAATCCTAGCTACTCAGGAGTCTGAGATCTGAGGGTCACAGTTCAAAGTCTGTGAGACTCACAGCTCCAGTTAACCAGAAAAGAAAAACCCAGAAGTGGATATAGAGTGGTAGAGCACCAGCCTTGAGTGAATAAAGCTCAGGAACAACTGTACGGCCCTGAGTAGATTCCCCACATCTACTGTGGATAAATATAAATCAGAACTTCATAAGAGCGCCAGAAAAAAAAAAAAAATCTACGTCCTGTCCACCCTCCTCACTTCAGTGGTAATCATAGCATTGGTTGGTTGGTTCCAAGGTCTGCAAAAGTGCATGTCACTGCTCAGGCCAGTTTAGCATGGGCTTGGTTGAAGGTGGACTTGGCTATGGGCAAGTTTGGTGGGAGAATGCCTGGAGTAAAGCAGCCCTCCAGGAGGCAGTGCCCCTGGACACACACACACATGCACGCCCGCACGCACGCACGTGCGCGCGCTGACGTTCTAAGCTGGGGCTGACCCCATATGTCCCGGGTAGCTTTCTGATCAAGGCTGTATTTGAGGAGCTTAATGTGTCTAACAGAGACCCCTCCACCACAGTTGTTCAGAACCAGAGCTCCAGCCCCCTGATCCCTGTATTCCTCCTATGGGAGGAGGATGGCCCAATGGCAAATCATATTTTAGAACAGAAAGGAGTCATGAAACAGAAGAGCAGTTCTCGGGAGTAGCCATTATTCTTGCTCCTACAATGCTGTGTAACAACCCAAAGCAGCCCCCCAGGTGTGCAGGTGGGCCAGGTGTGGCTCAGAGGTCTGGGCTCACAGGTGTTTAAAGTAGTCCCGGCTTGGCTGACCTCAGTTGTCTGGTCTCTGAAAGCATCATCCCAGAGAACCACGAGGACACACAGCCCCGTACAGAGAAAGGAGTTTTTAATGTCCGCAAGGGGCTGACAGGCTAGCTGTCTTGGGATGGGGAGCGGCAGCCTGTCCTGGAGAAGGAGCTTTAGTTATATAGTGCCAGGGAGGCTGAGGCAGGAATTTTTGCTAAAAGCAGGAGGTCCTCCACAGCTGGACAGACCTGAGCGAGCAACATTCCAGTGATACAGCCAGAGGCTAGAGATACCTGTAGTTTCAGGAATGGGGTGGAGGCTAACAATTATGGCCAGACTTGACTTGGTCACCCAATTTCGGGGAAAGAGCAGAGGACCTAAGATGGAGGCAGTCAAACCAAAATGGGGGGGTGGACACGCTAGCAGTCTCTGCTTAAGGCTGCAGGCCTGAGCCAGGGTCCGGCCTGTGCATTCCTCATTCGCAGTGAGCTGGCACATGCGTGTTTTCTCCATGACAGAGGCCATGAGGGCAAACCCAAGTGTGAAAGTCAGGCTAGAACCCACAGCTGGCCCGCCATCACGCTGAGTCATTCTCTCCATCTGGTATCTGCCTCCTTGCTTCCCTAGGCAGGCTTTATTTTTCTCCTAATTTCCCCTGCAATTCTTTTTTATCTTTTCTTTTCCTTCTTTTTGTGCCAGGACTGGGGCTTGACCTGCAGGCCTCTTGCACTCTTGCTCAGCGTTTTTACTCGAGGCCGGCACTCCCCCACGTGAGCCTTTACTTCCCAAACTTTCTGCTGCTCTTCTTATTTCAGCCTCCTGTGTAGCTAGAATTACAGATGTAAGCCTCTAGCATCTGGGCTTCTTTTTACCTTTTGTCATATTATTTTCTTTTTCTTCCTCTGGTATAAAATATCGATGCTGTAAAATTGATCATTTTAACTAGTTTAGAGGCATGCAGCATGTTCACCGCCGGACAGCATCACAGAACCCATGTGCAGAAGGTTTATCCCCACACCGGAGGCCTCCACCCACTAGACATGCGCGCTCACAGCCTCCACCCCACCTCTGCCTCCACCCCACCTCTGCCTCCACCCCACCTCTGCCTCCACCCCACCTCTGCCTCCATGAATTTCATGCCTCCAGGAATGGCCCAGAAGGAGGGTGGCATACTGCTTGCCCTTGGCTGACGGAGGGTGGCTCAGCCGAGCTCCTGGTGTCACCTTTGCAGATCTTGGACGAGGTGGAAAAGAGACGCGGCATCTCCCCGGCCCTGGTGCAGCCCCTCATGAGGAGTGTCATGGAAGCGCCTTTCCCAGCCCTGGGCAAAACCATCCTCGTCAAGAACTTCTTACCAGGCTCAGGGACTGAGGTAAGCCGCCCGACTCCTTCCCCAGGGAGTCAAGTCCCAGCAGTGATAGCCTGATTCTCAGGGCCCATCAAATTCACCCTGCTCCTTGGGTGAGTCCAGAACTTGAAGTTAAGGCCCAGGCACTGTCCCTTATCTTTTTCACTCAAGGCTGGCACTCTACCACTTGATGTCTGGCTTTTGGGTGGCCAAGTAGAGATGCGTCTCCTGGAGCCAGGAACCAGTGGCTCAAGCCTGTAATGCTAGTACTAAGGAGGCTGAGATCTGAGGATCATGGTTCAAAGCCAGCCCGGGCAGGAAAGTCATGAGACTTTTTTTTTTGGGGGGGGTCCGATTGTGGGGTCTGAACTCTGGGCCTGGGCGCTGTCCCTCAGCTCTTCAGCTCAAGGCTAGCGCTCTACCACTTGAGCCACAGCGCCACTTCCAGCTTTTTTCTTTTTGCTTATGTGGTGCTGAGGAATCGAACCCAGGGCCTCAGGCATGCAAGGCAAGTGCTCTACCACTGAGCCACCTTCCCAGCCCCATGAGACTCGTATCTGCAATTAACCACCAGAAAACCAGAAGTGGTGCTCTGGCTCAAGTGGTAGAGTGCTAGCCTTGAGCTGAAGAGCTCAGGGACAGTGCCCAGGTCTAGAGTTCAAGCCCCATGAAAAAAAAAAAAAAAAAAAAAAGGAAGATGTGTGCACACTGTACATAAAAGCTGAAAAGATACCGCAGAAAATATATATTTCAAAGCTGGGCGCCAGTGGCTCACACGTGTAATCTTAGCTACTTAGGAGGCTGAGCCCAGGAAGGAAAATTTGTGACTCATCTCCAATTACCCAAAAGTCAGAAGTAGAGCAGTGGCTCAAGTGGTAAAGCACTAGCCTTGAGCACAAAAAGGTTCAGGGACACCATATAGGTCCTGAGTTCAGGCCTCAGGACCAGCACACACAGAAAGAAAGGGCAGGAGGGAGGGAAGGAAGGAAGGAGAGAGGGGGGCGGGGAAGTGATTTGAATGAGGTGGGAGGCTGGACTTCTAGAAGAAGAGCCTTGGAAGGGCTGCTTGCATCTGCTCAGGAGTTCTGGCAGGTAGACCCCCCCCCCAGGAGATAGTTATTTTCATCTTAGAACTGTCCCTGCAGGGGTGCAGGCACCAGCCACCTGTGCTGGGTCCGCCGGCCTCTTCCCTTCCTGCTAGCCAGATGTCTCCCATCAAGCATCAGGCATTTGCTTCCTTCCAAATACACCCACTTCCCAGCCTCCGCGCCTTCTGCTCCCCACTCCTGCTCCCTCTGTCTTCTTTCCTACCTCTTCCCCTCCCCTCCAGTGGGGTCACATGTCCCCTGCTGAGGACCTCAGAGCCCCAGGAACTGTGCCACGTGGGCCAGGCCTGCCAAGGGTTGATCTTCTCCTCATGGCTACCCCTGTTCCCTGACAGGTGATTGAGCTGTGCCGCCCACTGGACTCCCGGCTCGAACACGTGGACTTTGAGTCTCTCTTCTCCTCCCTCAGCATCCGCCACCTGGTCTGTGTTTTTGCCTCCCTGCTGCTGGAAAGGAGGGTCATCTTCATCGCCGACAAGCTCAGGTACTTGGCTACTGCTGTGTAAGCATGTGAGTGGTCCTGGGTACAGCAGGTGAGTCCCTCGGGCAGGCGTGAGTGACAGCTGAGGCAGGTGTAAGGCCCGCCCATCGTGGACTGTGAGGTAGGCCTGAACTTCCAGGCACCAGCCACTTCTCAGGTACTTAGCCAGGTCCCCATGGGTTCTGCTGTGCACGAGGCACTCTGTTATATTCAGGAGACATAAATACACAGCTGTCCCCCAAAGTTCTCAGCCAAGCGGGGTGCCTGGGAAGTAAAAGGACTACCTAGTACCATGTGAGATGGATGGAGGGAGGCTGGGAAGGTGGCTCAGTGGTAGAGTGCTTGCCTTGCATGCATGAGGCCCTGGGTTCGATTCCTCAGCACCACATTAGCAGAAAAAGCTGGAAGTGGCGTTGTGGCTCAAGTGGTAGAACGCTAGCCTTGAGCTGAAGAGCCGAGGCACAGCACCCAGGCCCATGACCAGCAAAAAACAAACACAAATTAAAAAAAAAAGAGATTGACGGAGGGTACTCATCCCCAGGGAAAGTGAGTTCTGACTGTCACTAAGCATGAGACTAAGTAAAGAGGGCACTCACTGGTGGCTCACGCCTGCCTGTAATCTTAGCTATTCAGGAAGTGGCGCTGTGGCTCAAGCGGTAGAGCGCTCACCTTGAGCTGAAGAGCCCAGGGACAGCGCCCAAGCCCAGAGTTCAAGCCCCACGTCTGACAAAAAAAAGTATGTTGCACGTTGCAGGTAAATGGAGCCACCGGTGCAGGGGCAAGGAGGCGGGGTGGGGTGGGCAGCAAGGGGAGTGCATCACCCCCAGAATCTGGGCTGGAGCTCCCTGAGCTAGCATGGAGAGAAAGGGGAGGCAGGCAGAGGGGACAGGACTCAGCTCAGGGAAAGGCCACGGGCCCCACAGAGCAAACTTCACCAAGGCATCCCTCTCCCCATGTTGTTAACCTGAATCTCACACCTCACACACTCACTGCCCAGTAAGATGCCAGCACGTGCCATGGTCACATTTATGAAAATGCACCAGGCCCTGGTGGCTCACACTTGTCATCCTAGCTTCTTAGGAGGCTGAGATTTAGAGGATTATTGTTTGAACCCATCCTAAACAGAGATCCAACAGGCTCTGTCCCCCAAATACACAGGGGTGGGGGGAACAGGCCAGAGGCACCAACTGAGAGCCAGCAAACCAAGCTCGCACAAGGTTTAGACCCTGGTACAGGAAGCAGGACGAGGAGGGAGAAGACAACAGCATCCGCAGATAGGGATTCGGGATTTGGGTTTATTCCCAACTTCTAGCATTTCAAACAGTTGAGTCAGCCAGGCACCAGTGGCTCTCGCCTGTAATTGTCGCTAACTCAGGAGGCTGAGATCTGAGAATCACACTTCAAAGCCAACCCCAGGCAGGCAAGTCTCATTCTTAGAACTCAGGGCTCAAGAAGGGCTAAGGCATGGGAGCCACCACCAGGCTGAAGCAGAGACCACCTGAGAAGCTCATGTGGGAAGAAAACACGCCAGACACATAATGAAGGAGAACCATCTGGGTTTGGAGAGGAAATACGACTCTGAGCTGTAGAACACAGGAGGGAGGGAGAAGGGGCAGAGGGATGGAAGGCATGGCATGGATCCAGGTGGGATTCAATGGCGTGGGGCCGGGGTGGGGGTGGGGGGTGCCTGGAGAAGTGGCACGCAGCCCATGGCTCTCTGTAACCATCTGGTCCCCTTGGTGGCGCCCCCCCCCGTGGCTGAGTTCCCCAGCGACTTTTAAATGCCACAGTGTTGTGCTCCCCGTGTACTTTCATCAACTCAGGAAGCAGACTCTCTTCAGCCTGCAGCTGGTGCAGGGCGCTGGGCAGCACTCCAAGCATGCTGGGCGCTGGGGAATTGAGACACAGAGTTCTCAAGATTGGGGCTTTGGAAGCTGGGGATGAGTAATAACCCTTCAGTGACCAGGATTGAATTTCGCCAGGTCTCTGGTAACTGTCTGGGTTCTGTGAAAGGCCCACTCTGCCCCCTCCTTAGACCCCAAGCTCTTGGTTCTCAGGGTTGGGTTTTGTGAGGGGGGGGGGGGAAATAACTTCAGAAAGGCATAGAGAAGAAAAGTACAAGGAGAGCCGGGCGCCGGTGGCTCACGCCTGTCATCCTAGCTACTCAGGAGGCTGAGATCTGAGGATCACGGTTCAAAGCCAGCCCGGGGAAGGAAAGTCCCTGAGACTCTTATCTCCAATTACTCACCAGAAAACCGGAAATGGCACTGTGGCTCAAGTGGTAGAGTGCTTTCCTTCAGCTGAAGAGTGCAGGGACAGCGCCCAAGCCCCACGTTCAAGCCCACGGCTGACAAAAAAAAAAAAGAAGAGGAAGAAAAATACAAAGTACAAGGAGGCAGGTGTCGTGACACACACCTGTAATTCTAGCTGCTCAGGAGGTAGAGGTAGGAGCATCACAGTCCCAGGCATGGCAAAAGTGAGAACCCCTGCTGGAGAAGAAGTAAAAAACTAAAAACAAAAAGATTGGGGTTTGGCTCAGGTGGTAGAATGTTTGCAAGCATGAGACCCTGACTTCAAACCTTAGTACTGTCAAAAAAAAATTTTTTTAAATAAAGTGAAAGGCCAAAAGAATAAACCAAGAATCTGCCAAGCCTGGACCAGGCACCTATGAGACTTGTTTCAGGGCTGAAGGTATGTGGCTGGAGTAGAGCTGGTTAACTAGGGAATGGCCCACCCTTAGGAGAAAGAGCAGAAAATGCCCTTAGTTATCTTGCCAAAGTACAGTCAGAGAAAAGGTAGAAAGGGTGGGGCCCTGTCACGAGCAGGTCTTCCCCCAGGGCAGTATGGGAAAACAGTGGAAAATGGTCCACAGAGGAATCCATAGGAGGTATGTGACTGTTCCCCTGGACAGATTTCCAGGTGGACCGCTGGCAATGGGCCAGCTTCTCCTTCGCAGCTGCTGTCTCCAGGGACAAAGGAAAAATGAGCAGACCTCAGGGCTGTGACTAAATTCTGCCCAAATGTCTGGACCTCAGCTGGGCGCCCAGTCCCTCCCTCCCCGTCCTGGCCCCGGGTCTTCTTATTCTTGAGTCCTAGGGGTTGACAGACCCTAGGCCCCTGGTGCTGCTCACTTTCGGGGGCTTTGCTGTCTTGTTTTCCCCGCAGACAGCCGCTCTTTCTCTGTTACACATACATTATCTTTCTAGCTACTGTCATCCCTTGCAGACCTGAAAGTGGGTGGGAATGGGGGATAAATAAAGATCCAGGCTCAAGTGGTAGAGAAGGCCTGCCTAGCAAATACAAGCACTCAACTCAAGCCCCGTTACTGGCAGTAAAAAAAGGAAGGAGGGAGGGAGGGAGGGAGCACACGCTGTCTGGCCCAGAGAACTCTGAGACAGGAATGGGAGAAAATCTAGAGCAGGGAACCATTTTAGTCTGATCTACAGACTCTCCTGCTCCCCACGCTCCTGTCAGATAGATGCTACGAAAGCCACAAAGATTCAGTCAGGAAACTGTCTTAATTCCAAAGACACAGTGACACAGGCACTGGTGCAATGGTCTGGGGGTCGGTGACCGGCGAAACGTGGGGCCCTGTCCACAGAAATGTGGTCTTTGTTAAGCCACGAAGGCCCCTTTGTAAGATAGGCATGGTAGTACTTGCCTATAACCCTAGCACCCTGGAAGCCATGTCGGGATGATCATGAGTTCAAGATCAGCCTGGGATGTACAGTGAGACCAACTTGTGTGTGAAAACACACAGACAAACCAAAAAGACTCCCTACTGCTCGCAGTCAGTGAGGCTGGTGTAGGAAGGCTGGACTTGTTCTCCTCTGCGCCTTCCCGCCCGTGGTGGCGACCTTGCAGCTGAGGCTCCAGTGAGATGTGACTGTGTGACCCCCAAATCTCTCTCAGCTCTGAAATTCTCCAGTCCCGTGGGCCTGATTGCTTTGGGGTTCCTGGAACTGGGCTACATAAAATTCTGATTCTTGGGCCTGGGGCAGCAATCTGTGTCCCTGTCATTCTGCTCTGCTTGATGGAAGAATAGCTATAAGGATCTGAAGGGTTTTCATCCAGACTTTGGCAAACAAGGGCTTGAGGACCAGAATTTCTAGGAAGAAAAATCTGTGTGTATGTGTGTGAGAGACAGAGACAATGATAGACAGAGACAGAGTTCTAGGGTTTTCACTCAGGGCCTGGGAGCTGTCTCTCAGGCTAGTGCTCTACCATTTGAGCCACAGTTCCATCCCCGGGTTTTTGGTGATTAAGTAGAAATAAAGAGTCTCAGGGCTGGGAAGGTAGCTCAGTGGTAGAATGCTTGCCTTGCATTCATGAGGCCCTGTGTTCGATTCTTCAGCACCACATAAGCAGAAAAAGCCAGAAGTGGCACTGTGGCTCAAGTGGTAGAGTGCTAGCCTTGACCTGAAGAGCTAAGGGACAGCATTCAGGCCCCATGATCGACAAAAAAGGAAGCAAGGAAGGAAGGAAAGGAAAGGAAGAGAGTCTCAGAGCCAGGCCTGGCTTCAAACCTCAATCCTCAGATCTCAATCTTTTCCCCCCTCTCCCGTCCTCTACCCCCAAACCAGGACTTGAACTCCATATCTAACACTTTCATTCATTGGCCTGATGATCTACCATCCGAGCCATGCTTCCATCTCCATTTTAGTCTTTTGAGTTGCCAAGATTATAGGTATGAACCACTGGCACTAGGCTGGAAATCATGAGCTTAAGCCATGCCTGCTGCCCTCCTCCACCAAGCTCCATCCTCAGCAAATTCAGAGTTCCCATCTGGCTAGCGGTAGCTGGAAGTCAGACACAAGTTCTCCTGATTTTGCTCTGCAGCCCCCATCTAGGGGGGCCACTGGAAAGAGCACTGGACATGCCCCGTGATACCTCAGGGTAGGCCTCAGCACCCCCTGCACTGTCCCACCCCACCCCCAACGCAGTTCTCCACTCCTCATCGCTAAGGAGCCTGCCCACAGAAAAGAGGAAATGGCAAAGGACTTGTGGCAAATACTGTATAAGTTATAAAAGGGTTTTAAGTTGAGCCAAAAATCTATCAAATTTAAAATAACATTTGTGCTTCGTTTCATCTTTAGAGTGGACATTGGGTGTTTCTAAAGGCTCTGTCAAGCCAAAGTTTGACAGATAGAAGAAAAAAGAATGTTCTTGTGATGGTTCATTCTGTTGCCTTAACAACCCTATAAATATTTCCTTAGAGCCCTGTCTTCTTGTTCCTGATGATAAACATTTTATTTTGGGGTTTTTCTTTGAATTTGCTCATTTCACTTCCAAATATTTTTGCCTAAACCTATAGAAAAGGCTAAATAATAGCCACAGGTACGAGTTTGTACAAAAGAATTAGATAACGCCAGGTGTAGGATGTTCAAGAAACTTTTTATAGTGCTTTAAACCATAGGATAAATGATAGACTGCTGCCTTCATGATCATCAGGATTAACTGATCAGATCTTTCCATTATTGGTTTATCTATTTATGTTTTTTTCTGCTGATACTGGGGCCAGCACCACTTCCGGCTTTTTCTGTTTATGTAGTGCTGAGGCATCAAACCCAGGGCCTCAGGCATGCAAGGCAAGCACTCTACCGCTGAGCCACCTTCCCAGCCCCTTTGCTTAGCTTTTTCATTCAAAACTAGCACTGTAACCCTTGAGTCTCACTTTTACTTCCAGCTTTATTTATGGTGGTTAGTTGGAGGTTAGAGTCTCAAGGACTTTCCTGCCTGTGCTAGTTTGCACCTCAATCCTCAGATCTCAGCCTCCTGAGTAGCTAGGATTACAGGCGTGAGCCACCAGCGCTCGGCTTCTATGCTAGATTCTTGTTGGTGTGTAGATGGATCAGAAGGGTACAGGAGCTCCTAGCCTGGCACACAGGGTTGGGAACACCCAGACTGAAGCACTGGTGCTTCTGATGTTCTAGAAAGATGCTTCAGTCCTCAGAAGTCACCCTTCTCACCTGTGTTCGTCAGTGATCTCCGCCCCCACCCACGACTCCCCCCCCAGCCATCCTCCCACCACTCCCCCCCCCCAGCCATCCTCCCACGGGACTTCCCTCAAAAATACTGCCTGGGGGGCTGGGAAGGTGGCTCAGTGGCGCTTGCCTTGCATGCATGAGGCCCTGGGTTTGATTCCTCAGCACCACATAAGCAAACAGAAAAAAGCCGGACGTGGCGCTGTGGCTCAAGTGGTAGAGTGCTAGCCTTGAGCTGAAGAGCTAAGGGACAGCACCCAGGCCCAGAGTTCAGGCCCCATGACCAGACCCAAAAAAAAAATATATATATATATATATACTGCCTGGGCTTGGCGCTGGCGGCTCGCGCCTGTCATCCTAGCCACTCAAAAGGCTGAAATCTGAGGATCACAGTTCAAAGCCAGCCCAGGCAGAAAAGTCTGTGAGACTCTATTTCTACTTAACTGCCAAAAAGCTGGAAATGATACTTGGCTCCAAATAGCCTTGAGCACAAAAGCTCAGGGACGTTGCCCAGGCCTTGAGTTCAAGCTCCAAAAAACCACTGCCTCCCATCCCCAGTGTTAAGTGAGGCTCCGCCTGGAGCTCGCTCAAGACTCATCGTTAGCCTCCCCCGAACCATTGGCTGTGCTTTGATTTTTATTTTATTTTTTCCTAATCCACCACCAGTTCCCACCTTCCACCCTACAAGCGCTTCTCCAGCCCTCTCAAGTCAGGGAGGAAAATTCCATTAGCACTTGCAGCCATGACAGAGAGAAACATGTCAGATACCCTTAAAATAATCCTCTCTTTTCTCCTCTGCTTACCATTAGTTCTTGCAGAGTCTGACCTTTCTCTTCATGGTGCTCCAGGCAGGAGTGGTTTTAGCCTAGGGACGGGGTCAGGGCCGCAGGATTGAGAGGCTGCCCCCTTGTCGTCATGCTGTCCCCCGTCCCCCCCCCCCGCCCTAACGAGGTGTTAATCATAACCAGGTGTGAGAACACTTGGCTCCAGCTGCAGCGGACGATTTGAACATTAAACAAAAAAGACAAAAATGCTCCTTCCTTGTAAAAACGAGTCACCCATGACAGCAGCACGGACCTACAGAGCCAGTAGATGACCAGTTGAGATGGCATCATTTGTCGCCATCAGAACTGAAGATGGACCTGAGGCTTAGCTCCGTGGCGGAACATTTGCCCAGTGTTCTTGAGACTCTGGGTAGATCTCCAGCAGCACCAGGGGGAAAAAAAATTGGTTCCAGTTGTGCTTTTGCTCACTGCATTCCAGTTCCCTGAGTGAATGTAATCTACTGAAACTTCACTCGCTCTCTACGCCAACGCTGATCCAATCACGTCTTCTTCCCCTGGGTTCCTAGTGGAAGCAGCTGAACTCAGGCCTGGAACCTCGCCAGGCCTCAACTGGGACCCTTCCGGTGTGGCCGAGGAGGGAGCCGCCTGGGTGTTCCGAGGTGAAAGGCGGCCCCTCCCGCCTGTCGTGCTAGCTACTCAGGAGGCTGAGTCCGCGGCAGGGACGTCTGCGAGACTCTTACCTCCAGTGAACCAGAAAAAAGCTGGATGTGCAGCTGTGGCTCAAGTGGTAAAGTGCTAGTCTTGAACAGAGAAACTCAAAGACAGTGGTCAGGCCCTGAGTTCAAGCCCCAGAACTGGCACCAAAAAGAAAAGAAGGTGAACTCTGTGCTTGCTTCCGGTAGCCTGTACACCTTTGGGCTGAGTCTGTCCGCCTGCCTGGGAGCCCAGGGACGCCCAGGCCTCTCCCCACCCAACCGCGCCCTCTCTCTCCCTCTCTCTCTCCCCCCCCTCTTGCTGCAGCACCCTGTCCAAGTGCTGCCATGCCATGGTGGCTCTCATCTACCCCTTCAGCTGGCAGCACACCTACATCCCTGTGCTCCCGCCAGCCATGATCGACATCGTGTGCTCGCCCACGCCCTTCATCATCGGGCTGCTGTCCAGCTCGCTGCCGCTGCTCAGGGAACTGCCGCTGGAAGAGGTGAGCCCCACCCGGCCAGCTCCCTCGCTTGGGGCCCGGAGGAGTCCAGGGACAGCGGAACTGCAACTTGGTCTGTAACCGCTCCCACCGGGGCTCCCTGACCTTTGGCATCTGCAGGTGACCCGTGAAAGGCAACCTAGGTCAGAGCCCTAATGTGCCACCTGCCCTGCCTCCCCTCCCCCCTGCACTGAGGGAAGAAAGCACATGAAGAACCAGCCAGAACCAGAATGTGCTGGGACTAATGACAGCGGACCAGAACTGTGTCCTTATCATAGGCCCTTTGGTATATCATTCCCAAAGGACAACCATCAAGCCAGGCATGCTAGCACGTACCTGTAATACCAGCACTCAGCATTACAAGATCATTGAGGCAGGATGATCCTAAATTTTTGGTCAGCCTGGTTTGAATAGAAAGTCCCTATCTAGCCAGGCACTGGTGGTATATACCTGTAATCCTAGCTAGTCAGGAAGCTGAGATCTGAAGATCATAATTCAAAACCAACCCTGGCAGGAAAGTCCATGAGACTCATCTCCAATTAACCACCAGAAAAATGGAAGTGATGCTGTGGCTCAAAATGATAGTGCACTAGCCTTGAGCCAAAGAGCTCAGGGACCAGTGTTCAGGCCCTGAGTTCAAGCTCTGTGACCAAAACAAAATAAAAAAGACCCTACCTACACACACACACAGTTTCCACCTCTCTGTCCTAGGGAAGGACTGATCTGCAGTCTGTCTCAGGATACTGCTTCTTTAATTGTCTAAAGGCCTGGCTTTGTGCAGCCTCCTGTAATCCCCTGCAGCCAAGAACAGGCTCTTCCACCGGTCTGGAACAAGCAGAGGCCAAGCTTTTCCAGCTGAGGTTAGGGTGGCCATCCAGGCTCCTGGGCTTCCTCCCCCATGGCCACCGGAGCTGGGGAGAGGGCGCCATCTCCTGCTCCCTGTGTTTCCACCCCTGAGGATGGAGAAGCTGGGGTCAGTGTGGACGCCCTCCTGTTCCCACACTGCAACATGCAGAACCCCCCCCTGCTCCGGCCACCTGGGGTACCAAGAAGGAGGAAGGCAGGACCCATCCCCAGCAGCCCTAGTGGTAGCACTCGCCCCTCTTTCTGCCTGACAGGTGCTCGTGGTGGACCTCATCAACGATCGCTTCCTCAGGCAGGTGAGTGAGAGGATGGGGAGCTCCGCCTGCGCTGTCGCAGCCGCTGCGCACCGCTGCGCGCCCGGCTCTTCCTTCCTGCCCCACTACTGAGAAGCTGAGACTATCACAACGCCCCACTACGGAGAAGCTGAGACTGTCACAATGCCTTTTTCATTCATTTTTTTTTTTTTTTTTGGTTGGCCATGGGGCTTGAACTCTGGGCCTGGCCGCTATCCTTGTGCTCTTCAGCTCAAGGCTAGAACTTTTCCACTTTTGCCACAGCACCACTTCCCATTTCCTGGTGGTTAACTGGAGATGAGAGTCTCACAGAATTTCCTGCCTGGGCTGGCTTTGAACCATGATCCCCAGATCTCAGCCTCCTGAGTAGCTAGGATTACACAGCATGAGCCACGGATACCGGGCTCATTCTCTCTTTTCTAAAGGCCCTCCAGGTAGGTCTTCCCACAAGCCAGACCAGAAAGCTAGCTTTCCCAGGACACTGGCGGCTCAAGCCTGTAATCCTAGCTACTTGGGAGGCTGAGATCTAAGGATCACAGTTGGAAGCTAGCCTATGCGGGAAAGTCTACAAAATTCCATCTCCAATTCACCAGCAAAATCCTGGACTGGAGGCATGGAGCACCAGGTACGAGTAAGAAAGTAAAGTGAGCCGGGCGCCAGTGGCTCAGGCCTGTCATCCTAGCTACTCAAGAGGCTGAGATCTGAGGATCACGATTCAAAGCCAGCCTGGGCAGGAAAGTCCGTGAGACTCTTATCTCCAATAAACCATTAGAAAACCAGAAGTGGTGCTGTGGCTCAAGTGGTAGAGCGCTTGCTTTGAGCTGAAGAGCACAGGGACAGTGCCCAAGCCCAGAGTTCAAGCCCCACGACTGACAAAAGAAAGTAAGTAAAGTGAGAATGTGAGGGTCTGAGTTCAAGCCCCAGTACCAACACACACACAGGCACACATACACATAGATGAGCCTGTGCGTCACAGATGCCATGGGATCAGCCTGCCCCGTGGTGTAGCAGTGTGTGAGGCTAGACAAGATGCAGGCATTACCCAAAAGCGCCTGCACTGGGGCCCACTTGCTGCTTCTGCTTTACAGATGGAGGATGAAGATTCCATTCTGCCCCGGAAGCTTCAGGTGGCCCTGGAACACATTCTGGAGCAGAGGAACGAGCTGGCCTGTGACCTGGACAGAGGGCCCCCGGACTGCACCTATGGTAAAGGCAGCACTTGCTCTACGAGAGGCTGGGGCAGCTGCAGCGGCGCCGCCCATCCCCACTGGGCAACGCCAGAACATGGGGCTGAGCAGCAGCCTCTTCATCTGGACTTCATTCCAACAAGGAATTGGGGGGAAAATTGCCCATCACTCCCACCTTGGCCCTATACTATCTATATAAAGGTAGGAAAAGAAGCCAGGCGCCGGTGGTTCACGCCTGTCATCCTAGCTACTCAGGAGGCTGAGATCTGAGGATCACGGTTCAAAGCCAGCCTTGGACAGGAAAATCTGTGAGAATTATCTCTAACCACCAAAAAGCTGGAAGTAAAGCTGTGGCTCAAATGGTAGGGCACCAGTCTTGAGCAAAACCAAAAAGCTCAGGGACAGTGCCCAGGCTCTGAGTTCAAGCCCCAGTTCTTGCACCAAATAAGTAAATGGGGAAAGACACAGTTGGCCACCGAGGGAATTTCCGTGGCTGCCGTCATTCCCTGCTTTGTTGAGCGCCAGCCAATCATCCGCCCTCACCCTCACTGCCCCCCCTCCTGTCCTTGCCCAGGCCCCGCGTCCAGCCCCTTGAATGCGGTGGTGTCCGAGGCCTTTGTCCGCTTCTTTGTGGAGATGGTGGGCCACTACTCCTTGTTCCTGACGCCGGGCGAGCGGGAGGAGCGGAGCCTGCAGCGGGACGCCTTCCGCAAAGCCGTCTCCTCCAAGAGCCTGCGCCGCTTCCTGGAGGTGTTCATGGAGACCCAGACCTTCCGTGGCTTCATCCAGGAGCGGGAGCTGCGCCGGCAAGATGCCAAGGGTGAGGATCCGTCCACGCTGGGCCAGAGAGCCACCTATGGCAGCATCCTCTGGAGCCATAGGATGACACTGAAGAATGTCTTTCCCACCTCTCCCTGCTGCCCTCCTGCTCCTCCTCTCTGTTCCCCCCCCTTTCCTGCTCTCTCTCTAGCAGCTGCTGATGGATGAGCCGGAGAGAATCGGTGCTCCTCTGCCCCACCTGGGCAGCTGGCCTCTTCACCAGCACCAGCCTCTGCCTCCTGCTCTGCTCGAGGTTTTGCATCTCCTCCTCCTTCCCTGCCATACTTCCCGCCTCCTTTCCACCTCACTTCTAGGGATGGAGGACGGGATGAGGAGGAGGCCAGGGGGAAATCACTGCAGTCTCGTTTTGTCCCTTGTCTCAGAATCTAAAATCCCTCACACAAGCCGGGTAGGTACGGCAGGCATTTTTGCAGAGCCCCTCCTTAGAGGCTGGGGAACACCTGGTCCCAGGCCTGGGCGAGCTCTGATTACACTACTTAAGTCCCCAAAGTCCAGTATTCCGCAGCCCTCCTCCAGGACGGCCAGGGCAGCCACACCCTGCGGGTGGTTTTAATATGGGGTCTGCGGGTATAGAAGGAAATTGATGAGACTGGAACCATCCATGTCCTCCTTACTGAGTTAGGTTTTTTGTTTGTTTGCTTGTTATGCTGGTCCTCTGGGACCAAAGCCTGGGCGCTGTCTCTGAGTTTTTGTTGTTGTTGTTGCCAATCCTGGGGCTTGAACTCAGGGCCTGGACACTGTCCCTGGGCTCCTTTAACTCAAGGCTAGCACTCTACCACTTGAATCACAGTACCACTCCCAGCTTTTTCTGCACTGAGGAATGGAACCCAGGACTTCATGCATGCCAGGCAAGCACTCTCCCTCTAAGCTACATCCCTAGCCCCTCTGAGCTTTTTTTTGTTTTTTTCCTCAAGGCTAGTTCTCTACCATTTGAGCCACAGCCTTTTGGTGGCTAATTAGAGATAAAGAGTCTCAGACTTTGCTGCCTAGGCTGGCTTCAACCCCTGATCCTCAAATCTCAACTTCCTGAATAGGTAGGATCACAAGGATGAGCCACTGCCAGAGAAAGCTTTTAGAGTTCTTTTCATTGGTGGTAGCAGTGGTTGTAGAGCTTGAACTCCGTGTTGTCACTGACCCTGAGCTATTATGCTCAAGACTAGTGCTCTACCATTCCAGCCACAGGTCCATTTCTGATGGTTAATTGGAGATAAGAATCTCACCAACTGGGGCTGGGAAGGTGGCTCAATGGTAGAGTGCTTGCCTTGCATGCATGAGGCCCTGGGTTTGATTCCTCAGCACCACATAAGCAAAAAAGAAAAAAGCCGGAAGTGGCGCTGTGGCTCAAGTGGTAGAGCGCTAGCCTTGAGCTGAAGAGCTGAGAGACAGCGCCCAGGCCCAGAGTTCAGGCCCCACGACCGACCGGACCCAAAAAACAAACAAAAGAATCTCACCAACTTTCCTGCCTAGGCTGGCTTGGATCTGTGATCCTCAGATCTTAGCCTCCTAAATAGCTAGGATTACAGATGTGAGCCATCAGTGCCCAGACTAAAGGGTTATTTGTTGTTGTTGTTGTTGTTTTAAATAGAAGAGCTGGGCTGGGAAGGTGGCTCAGTGGTAGAGTGCTTGCCTAGCATGCATGAGGCTCCAGGTTCGATTCCTCAGTACCACATAAAGAGAAAAACCCAGAAGTGGTGCTTTGGCTCAAGTGATAGAGCGCTCGCCTTGAGCTGAAGAGCTGAGGGACAGTGCCCAGGCCCAGAGTTCAGCCCCAGGACCAAACAACAAAAAAAAAAGGAAATAATCCTCAGCTCTCAGCTCAGCTTCAAGGGAAAAGCCACAGCACTTTGAGAACATTCTGGAAGCTTGGGCCCTGGGCTGTCCCTGATCCTGGGATAGAGACCCAGATGGGTGCCAGCCACTAGACAGGGCCTGCATACTGCCTGGAACAGTCTGTGTCCCACAGGACACTGACACCCTGGAAGGGAACCCCAAATGCAAACCGTTGTTAATTTCACCTTAGATATTAAAAGGAAGAGAAGTGTTTGGGGTTTCTTTTTATTTTTGCCAGGGCTAAGAAAAATCTCTCCTCTACTTTGTGGATGAGACTTGAAGGAGGAAGGGAAGAGGTGGGGAGGAATAGTGGCCAAGCAACAGGACTTGGTGAGTTCGGGGGACAGGTGTAGGCTGAGGGGAGACAAAAGGGAGAGCTGACCATACCTGTATTCTCCATGCCCATAAGTTCAGCACTGGCCCTTCCTTGGCTGGTGTGGGGGCCTGGATCAGAAGAGGAATTCAGCTGCCCAAGCCACTGGCTCTTCTTTACTGGTCAGTGGCGCCACCTGGTGGCGGAGGATTTTCCCAAGTGACCTTGACTTGCTGCCATTTCCCCTTAGAAGCCACCCAACTGCCCACGCCCCTACCAGCCCAAGACTTTAAAGGGACATACAGAAGAAGGAAGTCTTGTCAGCTCTGTTAATAAGAAGTCTTGGAGGGTCCTACAATATATAATAGTGCCTTGAGCTCGCCTGGTGACATTTAAGGCCACTGTTAGGACCCCATTCCCATCTCGTTCCAAGGACCCAGTCAGCACAAATGATATCATAGGCATGCAGGACAGATAGGAAGGACATTGGTTGGGGAGGGGCAAGATAATTGGGGTAGCTTTATTAGACTTGTGCACCCCAAAGAGGCATGGCCTCAGGCTGACATGGCTCCTGAGCCAGGGGGTAGCCATAGTCCTGAGGGACCAGTGACAGTAGGGACATTGCCAGAACCCCCTGGGCTCTCCGCAGGTTCTCGGCAGGCCTTGGGCTTCGGCCTTTGCACATCCCTCTGCTGGTCACCTGGCTGCTTCCAGTAACCTTGACGGAAACAGAAGGGATAGCCTGGGGCCCAGACAATGGCCCCGGAGGCCCGAGCTGCCTACCAGAGGCTCCCTGACCTTCTTGGAAGAAGAGGTTCTTGGGAGTGGGGGATAGAACACAAGACAAATAAGAACGAGGTTGGCCACCCCACAACACTAGGGTCCTAGGCACCCCAAAACTGTAGCCAACATCTGGGATGCCTACTGAGATTTTTTTTTTTTTTGCTGAGAGGATCCCATAATTTATATCCCATTCTCCAAGGCTCTCCATAATAGTAGGGACCAGGCTATGCATAACAGTTAACCTGAGTAGCAGGCTGGGGTGTAGTTCAGTGGTAGAGCACTTGCCTAGTGTGCTGGAGGCCCTGGCTCAATGCCCAGTAGCATAGGGGAGAAAAAACAAAACCTGAAAGGGACTGGGGGGGGGGGTGGCTCAGTGGTGAGGTGAGTGCCTGCCTTGCCTAGCCCAAGGCCCCGGCTCAACTCCTCACCCCTGCCGAGGGAAACCCCCCCTGAGTAGGTTTGTGTGGCTGGGGGAAGGGGAGAGGCTGGGGAATTTGGTAACTAACCAGCTCCTTGGATTAGTAATAGTAACATTCTGTATATTTTTATATTTCCCAAAAAGATCACTTTTATTATTTTGGAATACACTTTTCTTTTCTAACTTATTTCCTATTACATTGTTTACTTAAGATCTTCAAGTGAATAAATATACAATTTTATCAACATTCCTAATGGTCGTATAGTATTCTGTTTTTTAGATATATTGAAAGTAACCTCACCTAGGCTGGAAGTATATATAGTTCAAGGATCACAGTCAGAGGCCAGTACTGGGCAAAAAAAGCACAAGACTATACCTAGAAAATAATTGAAAAGCCAGGCGCCAGTGACTTAACACCTGTAATCCTAGCTACTCAGGGGGCTAAGATCTGAGGATCGTGGTTCAAAGCCAACCCAGGCAGAAAAGTCTGTGAGACTCTTAGCGCCAATAAACCACCAGAAAACCAGAAATGGCAATGTGGCTCTAGTGGTAGAGCGCTTGTCTTGAGCTGAAAAGTGCCCAGGCTTAGAGTTCATGTCCCACAACAACAACAACAAAAAAAAAAAACTTTAGTGCACAGGCTGGGAAGGTGGCTTGGTGGTAGAGCACTTGCCTTGCATGCCTGAGGCCCTGGGTTCGATTCCTCAGCACCATATAAGAAAAAAGCCGGAAGTGGCACTGTGGCTCAAATGGTAGAGTGCTAGCCTTGAGCTGAAGAGCTGAGGGACAGCGCCCAGGCCCAGACTTCAGGCCCCAGACCGGACCCCCCCAAAAAAAAAAAAAACTTTAGTGCTAAAACTTGAGTGGCTTTGAACTGTGATCCTCAGATCTCAGCCTCCTGAGTAGCTAGGATTACAGGCATGAGCCCCCAGCAACCAATGAAATAATTTTTTTGTTTTTGTTTTTTTTTTGGGGGTCCAGTTGTGGGGCCTGAACTCTGGGCTTGGGCGCTGTCCCTCAGCTCTTCAGCTCAAGGCTAGTGCTCTACCACTTGAGCTACAACACCACTTCTGGCTTTTTTCTTTTTGCTTATGTGGTGCTGAGGAATCGAACCCAGGGCCTCAGGCATGCAAGGCAAGCGCTCTACCACTGAGCCACCTTCCCAGCCCTCAGTAGCCTTCTTGTAGAGGCCTAGGGTGAGATCAGTGGGTCCCCTTCCTGTCTTAGCTGTTGGACCGGGTCCTTGCTTCTGCCCACAGGGTCCCTTGAGACTGGTCGAACCCCCTACTCTGAAGGTGAAGCCCCATCTGCCCCCTATCTCGTGGAAGCAGGTAGAGAGAGGATCATGACTGTCCCTGCACTGCCATGCCATTAACAATGAGGTGGGCGGCACTATGGGCTGGAGTTGAGATCTAAGGGTTCCAGTTTGAAGCCAGATCAGGCAGACTCATCTCCAGTTAACCAGCAAAATGCAGAACGTGGAAATGTGGCTCAAGTGGTAGAGCATCTGCCTCACACCCAGTCTCAAAACTCAAAGCAAAATAAAGTAAAATAAAATAAACACACAGAGGTTAAAAAGTCTGAGAGCGCCGGGCGCTGGTGGCTCACGCCTGTAATCCTAGCTACTCAGGAGGCTGAGATCTGAGGATCGCGGTTCAAAGCCAGCCCGGGCAGGAGAGACCGTGAGACTCCTATCTCCAATAAACTACCAAAAACCAGAAGTGGCGCTGTAGCTCAAGTGGTAGAGCGCTAGCCTTGAGCTGAAGAGCTGAGGGACAGCGCCCAGGCCCAGACTTCAGGCCC